CGCAGTACCGGCTCCTCTTCGTGGCAGGAATAACACCATCCGTTTTCTTTTGCCATTGGCACATGTTATTTGTGATGCCAATAAATCACGTGCAATGATCGGTTTTCTGTCGACTGACAACTTTGCGCCAGGGAAAATTCCGGAACCGGATACCTGGTTTAAACCAGCCGATTTTGGCGATGATGAAGGTCGGCAACAACAAGCCAATGATCTTGATGCACAAGACATTGCAAGCATTTTTATCAGATTTGAGAGCGGACATTCCAATAACATCACCATAGCACATACTCCATTCCGTCCAGCTGCTTATCCACTTCGATACCTTGTGCACGGAACAAACGAGAAAAATCTCCAGTCGATCCGCTGTAGCGGACTCATTCCTGGAGGAACCAGAGGAGGACGGAATCATGTGCACTTCGCTCTAGACTGCCTATTAACCACCATGGTTGACGGCTTGCGTACTGAATCCGACTGTATTTTAATTGCCAGACCTGACGCTGTTTCTGACCTAGATCCCGTCATCACGGAGAGTCAGTATGTTTTAACTTCTCACACTGTACCATTTGAACGCTTTTGCGGAGTTTGGTCGCGGATTGACCGTGCATGGCTTGAAATTCCAAATGACGGAGAACTTGCCAGAATGAACAATTACAAGTCAGATGTTGACATCGCCATGCATATGGCTCACCATCAGTTTTATTGGGAGAAGAGGAATGAATCTGAGCAAAACAATGAGAACTGGCAACGATCTGACTATGTGCATTATGTTACTGGCCAATTATCTGATTCATTGATTGTAGCCCCATTTCTCAATAGCTTTCGTCAGGCAAGGGCCAGAACGAATAGGCCAGTTCGTGACACTCCAACACCGAATGATCAATCTCGCGGACCACCGAAGACCTCTGATGATGAACGTATTGACCGGCTCCGCGCAGAAGTTTGAGAAAGATTTAGAAGTTCAATGAAGACGTCTGTTGAAAAACAGAAAAAGACGCTTGACGTTTCCTCTTCGTCGGAGAGTGAGTCCATGGCACAGCCGGTGATGCCGATTAAGGCTAAGGCAATGCCAACACCTCCACCTCCTCCAAAGAGACAGCAGAAGAGTACCGTCAAAACGGTCAGCTCTGCAGCAGCATCCGATTCCAGTGCATCCGCATCTCGACCTGCCGAATCTTCGGCGAGAGATGAAAGACGCAAGCCTGTCAAGGGCACAGCGGCAAAACGAGAAACTTCTACTCAAGCAAAAGAACTTTTCAAGGATGCAGATGCTGCCAAGAAATTTTTCACAAATTTCAAACAAGAAACTGATGAGATTGAATGGTTTCCGCGTCCAGATGGACCACAGTTGTGTAAGAACTTTGATACGTGTCAAGCTGATAATGCTATGTTTTGGTGTCACCCATGTGGCTTTGCATATTGCCTTCAGTGCCGCGTTCGCGGTCAAGCATGTGACCATCACATCATTAATTACTCTTCGGAAATTTCCTCAGAATTTAAGCCTGACAGCATTAGCTCCATAGATTCTCCCTTCAAGGTTGGAGAAATTATTGATTCTGTTCTTGCTGAATCCGCATACTTCGGAGCCACAAGAAGTGAACAAGCTCAAACGCGCCAAGAAAAACATGAGGAGTTCGTTTTTCATTTGAAAAGCGGCAAGAAACTTGGAAATTCCTATCTGCAGAGTTTTGTGAAGCATGGAATCGAAGACTATGATTTTGCCGGATTTATCTACAAGGTGGCAGACGGCAAACGAGTGCCCACTCTGCAGCAAAATTTTCTTGACGCGCAAGATGCGGCAGCCTTACCAATCTGGAGGCCTGAGATATTTTTCAAGTATCCTGAAGGCCGGGACCTGACTGAGAAGGAGATTGAAGGACTGCTTGAACCTTTTCGTAGCTGCCTTCTTGGTAAGCGTGCCGTGCATGGAGTGGCGCTCCGAACTGCGGATAACATCCATGATGCCCAGAAAGACTCTTACCAGCTCGGTATTTTAACTTTAAACTTGGGTCACGTGAATCGAGTTCCGTATATCAGAGGAAGCACAAAAATTCCCTGCGTGGGTCCGAAGAGACAACCAATATAGATGTTTGCCTTATTCAGTTTTCCGACACTCAGCACACATTACATGCCTTTGCGAAGCAAGCGATTAGCACCGCGGCATAGCACTGCATCAGCAGGTAGCCCGAGATCACGGCATGATTGGAATGGTTGTGCATTCAGAGATCAATTCCCAGTCGGTTGCCATTTTTATCAGAGGAGATCATTCAGTTGGAACCTTTATTGAGTTGCTTGGCCATTACCAATGTGAGACTGGGAAAAAGAAAGAGACAAACAAAATTTGGTTTCTTCATGGAGCAATTTTTCGCCTCTGCCATGGCAAGAAAACACATCCGGAGAATTCGTCAATCCGCAAAGCGGAGTCCGAATGGCAATGCCATTACTGTAAATGAAAAGTTGACAGTCAAGCCGCATCCGGCTCCACTGGCCAGCACACAGGACTTTGAAGACTGTGCCATCTGTGAAATAGATGGTAAGATTGAAGTTCCGCAAGCAGAGCTCCTTCCTGTTGCATCCGGTGCAGACACGCATGACGTGAAACGCCTTGGTTTGGCAGAACTCCGCGTTGCAGTATTCCACATTTCATCTTACGCCTGGACAGAAGCATATGCTGAAGCATGCCAAAAATGGCTGAGTTTTGTTGCTTGCTGTATCGAACACCAATGTGATTTTATTTCAGGAGATGGAAACCTCTTCGCTCAACGCAGCTTCAAGAATGATGAGCGTTCCGACTTTCGGACATCCATCATGATTGACATTCTTGAAAGATTTTTGCAACAGATCAATTTGGACCGAAATCCCATCAACCGCATTACGTATAACGTAGTTTCCTCCACCATGGCAAGTGAATATATTAGAAGCATGGAAGGTAAAAGTGCCGATTGTGACTCAATGATTTTGATTTCGTTATTTTATGGAAAACAAGTTGCTGTTTCGGAAGCCCGAGGCAAAGAAGAATCCGCATCTGCGGATGGAATTGCCGGCTCAGCCGTTGATGATGAAGTCATGTTAAATGACGTAGAACAACTGAAACACCTTTTGCCATACGACTTAGGTCTTGCAGAAAAAGATTGCGCTTATCATTCACCTCTTTTGGCTTTTGTACAGTTGAAAGTTTGCAAAAATCTAAGGATCCGCTCAAAAGAATCTGAGGATCGAAGACATGCACGTTGGGGTGATCTCAACGAAAGCTACAAAGAAAAGCGCGATGATCGCAGAGCTGAGCGCAAGGAAGCGCAAGGACAGTGTGCCGCCTTTGCGGCGTGATTCCTTCCAGGATCTTGACACCGGTCGATCCAGATCAGCCAGCCGAGTATCTAGGTCTGTGAGCACGCAGACCGAATCCGCCTCCGCGGATTAAGGCAGCTCCTGCGTTTTTGAAACCTGCACCGACTACGGTCACTGGTTCACCTCCGGTCAAGGCACCACCGGTACCGCCTCTGCGGCCTGCAAGATCTCAGAGTGCTGATCGGCCAGTTGCAACTCGAACTGTGGGAACATCAAGCAAGACGCCTCCTTGGCGAGAGCGAGAGCAGCGCCAGTATACCGCTCGAGCTCGTGAGCGATCTCAGACCCCGGTCGAACGCAACACAAGGACAAGAACCGAAACACGATCGTCCACAGGAGCAAGCTGGACCAACACCGGATGTGACAGAGATCGTCCTGTTGGAGTTCCTGAGCCACCGCCTCCTCCGACCCGCATGTCGGGATCGCAGTGGCCAAATCAAGGCTACCAAGAGCCTCAGTCCAGCTCATCTTCGTACCGTTCTCATGGTCAATATTGACAGCAGCCTTACTACCGTACCAATCCTCGCACGCACAATGTTGAATATGTTCCTGGGTACACTGTACCACGCACTAGATGGATTCAAAAATATAATGGTGATTGGCTAGATTTGCTTCCGCAAACTCCCGACCAATCAATTTATTTTCACCAACCTAGAAACCAGAGAAGACGGAACGAACTGGATCTATATGGATACACCTTCTCGATGGGCTTGTAGGTCCTTCAATTGTCAGTGCGCCGAATTACGGCCAGACAGCCATTGCCTGTAGTTTTGATTTTTGTCTTCGGACACATACGTTTCACAGCAGAACACAAGCTGAGCGCTTCTTGTGTAAAAAGTAGCTGCATGTTCCGACACGAAGAAAATTTGTGTCTGTTTGTAAACCACTTTTGGGGACGTGTCTACACAATGCATGCATGACAGTTTGCATGACAGTTTGCATGTAGTACATGACATGTTCACTTAATTCATCATTTCCACTGCGCCACTCCGTGGCTCAAGATTACTGCATACCCGCGTAGTAAAAAGAGAGTGCAGCTTGCGCTAGCAGACCACAAGGGTTACTGTAGTTTCCAGGGCTCCCTCAATACGGGGATTGCTACCTCACACCCCACCCCCACCCAAAAAACGTGCGTTTTACGAGCACGGTTTTCGGTCCGCAGGCAAAAATAACCATACAGGGGTGGCCCTTGTGGAGCCGCCAGCGAAGAAGTCCGGCCCTTCTTTTCGACCTCGAATTTCCTTCCCCAATATTTCACATGATACTCCCAATTCCTGAATTCCTCAATGAAAAATGAAAAAATGAAAAAACATAATTCCTCAATTCGAATATACCTCAATGATCATTGTCATCTTTCCCCAATGGACCACCATTAATTGAGGTATATCTTCCACTCTTTATTTTCAGTAGTCATCCCCGACACCGTGGTTTTTGGCCGATTTGTTTGGGAACGAAATCATGTTTGTCCTTGACATTCCTGTCTCCACTATCCCTTGCAAAATATGTCATATTCAGTATTAATACGATATGAGATTAGGATAGTATATTATAAACGAAAGTAGCTAAGTGGGAGTATTAGTATATATGTAACTACCATATCAAACCATCCAATTTTTGTGGCCAAAGAAAACATCCCCATCGCTGCGCTGAGTGACAAGACCCAACTTGAAAAACTTCCTGAAGTTTGCCCTGAAGAAGACGAATGCCGCCCCGGCTCCTGATCTTCCAGAGTCGGGTCTCGCGCAAAGTTGATCCACGGCTATTCATACTGTTGTGGTATAGATACATATGATATTAATACAAAGAGAGAGAGAGAGGGAGAGAGAGAGAGAGAGAAAAATCTATCTATCTACATTTATTTTTGTATTTACGTAAATTTATCTTTATATTTCTTTTGATATTGATATTATGAACAATCTTACCCTTGTTCCGGGTGTACTGTTAGAGGTTACCCGGAAAACACAAGGTTTCGCGCAGGAGAATGTTTTCACCCGTGAATTCGCACGCTTCCGAAATGTCACTCTTCCCAACTACTTGATGATGGGTGGTTGACATGATGGTGGGAATGCTAACCATGACAATCGTCCGTAAGTCGGAAGTTCCTCAACTAAACTTCCTTCGAACTAATCATCAACCAACGAGGGCTTTGAACACTGCTCAATTGCAATGGTGGACAAATCAGACATGATGCCATTGTTGGGATATGTTAAGATGATTCTCGAAACCAAACCAACCTAAAATAACCTCCACAAACAATACTATGTTCCGCATTCGTCCTCCACTAGCTGAAAAGCAACATGTTCAAAAAGACAAACAATCTATAAACCTCGCAATGCTCCCATCACTCATCATGGCTAGACTGCTGAATCCTCCATATTTGTTGCGATGAAAGTTGATGAAACATTTAAGTAACCGACATGTTCACCCACATCTGGCTGCGTAGTTTTTCGCCAACCCAAAAGAAAATCATGTTGGCTTCCCATGCATTCTCCTCATCATCTGTACCATCATTCCATCATTCATACCGCTAAAAAATCATAAGGTATAGAATTCTGTAGAGAATTGAATTCTATAGATACACCTACCATAAACATCCATAAAACATCCATAAACAATCCATAAAAAACATCCCTTTCCACCCAACAGGTCCACTTTTCAGCCAAGTCTCCGGCAGTCCGCCACCCTGCCAAGGTCCGGTCTTCGCCTTCGGAGGCTTGCCCTTCGGACCTTTTCCACCCTTCACACCCTTCACGCCCTTCACACCCTTTACACCCTTTACACCCTTTCCACCCTTTTCACTTTTTCCACCCTTTCCCCGTCCGGGTCCGGCGGTCGGCATTTCTTGAGGCTTAAGCTGCGAACGAGGTCAGAGAATTGCGACCACGGCATAATTGCGATGCGGGGGAATCTGATGTATAGTTATAGCTGTAATTTATTATCGGTGAGTGGGGTTCATGGTTTATCAATGTTGATCATGCGAGATTTTTCTCAATTCATAGAATTCATCACATGTCCATAGGGTTCGATCGGAGGTTTATCCATGTCCCAATTTACCAAGTTCATAAGGGATGATTTGATGATAGGCCCTAATTTCTGACCTCAGACTAAAACATCGTTTTCAAGTGGGATGCGGATGGACGCCATGGACGCCCCCAGTCGCTTAGATTGATCATCCCAAGAGCCATGTCTATGCCATGTTTTTCCAAGTTACGCAAGTTACATACGGGACATTGGCGAGACTATGGATGAACCGGATGAACCCCCTTCCATGAAGGTTTCCCAGACAATTGCCAAACCACAGCTCTAAAACATCTTGATAAACTGCGTATTGTGGAACACCACGGGTGAGTGAACTTGCCAACCATGATAACTGAGTGTCAGTGGATCATCGACTTGACGCGTCACCTGTTCTTCACGTGGTTCCATTTGAACATTCTATCTAATCCATTGTCGCAAAAAACTCTGATCCCCATTTCTCCAATAAACACTTCTCCAGAAACCATCATTTCAAGTAGTGGATTTTGGGATATCTTGGGTCCCATGGTCCCATGATCTTGGATATCTTAGGATCAAGTGAACTATGATGAACTATGGGTATGGGTACGTTACTGGATGGATGGGGATAGGCCTGGAAATTCACAGGGGCCTGGAGTGCAGGAAGTAAAGCATGTGGCTGATGATTTGCGAGAGCGGGACGCCTCCCGGAGCAGAAATGGATCTATAGCTAGTCTATACACAAATGGGGATAGCTAAGTTGATTGGAGGTTGATCATTGGATATTATGAAGCACATCATTCAATATATAGCAGCCCATGATTTGAGAACGTGGCCGACCTGAGAGACCTCGGTAAATCATGAACAGTCGGGTCATGAATGATGTTATTTTTAGCAACTTTTCTTCTAGAACCCCATTCTCAAGTTCTTACGCCATTTTTGGTGGGAACAAACATTGGACCCAAAGCCATCCTGATCCTCAAAAGGTAGCGCAAAACAGCTTCTTTTCTGCCAACAAAAACCCAAAGCAGCTGAACGGCATTTAGGTATGAGTTAAGTCTAAGTACCATCTTGTTATTTAACATAGCCATGGAACATCACCATTTTTAATAGGTAAACCATCTATTTCTACGGGCCATCGAAAAACCATGGCGAACTGTTAGTCATAACCAGATGGTATCACTTCTGCAAAAATGGAATGCGTGGAGTTTTATGGGTTCATAAAGGTAACCCATGGGTTTTGAGCCGTGAAGCTTTTTCTGTTCTGAAAGAACAGATCGACCCCGGAAGAAATCTCACCATGTTCTGATGGACCTTTCTTGGGAATCTCTTCTCCCTATTCTTAACATAACCTCCCGACAAAACCCTGAGCAAAAATTTCATCAATTTGATGGGCTAGATTTTATCTGATTTTATCGTCAAAAGTGGGGGACGGGATTTAAATCATTGGATATTGGAAGGGGGATTTCCAGTGCTTCTTTTTGTACGTTTCTATATGTTTCTATACATTTCTCACCTCTCAGCTTGCGAAAACTGAGACGTGAGAAACTTTGTGACACTCGCCACCGGAAGAATCGAAAGTCGGAAAGTCTGGAAAGTCGTTTAAGATCCCTGAGGACATCTCAAATGAGGACATTCGATAGCCAGTAGGTTACAATATGACTAGCCATTACCCTCAATCAAACGGCTGAAGAAATCCACCATGACTGGCCCATTTTTGATGTGACTTTCACAGCTACCGGGAGAAACAGCCACGGTACATTGTGGTGCCCACAATATAGGCGAAGTGTTGGGTTATGGCACCCAGCCAGAGAACCGTTCTTCCGAGATATTTTGGAGATTTCCAGGTTTCCAACTTTTCCAGCGGACTGACATCTGCTGAAACATGCTCCGAGTTTGGGCTGGCAGTGTACCATCCAACTCAGAGCTCGATGAAATTGGCCAAAATTGGCCAACTATGACTGGGACCCGGATGATGAGCTTATGATGATGTTGATATGTGTTGATTGATATATCTTTATCATAAGCCCCAGTCATGGTTGGTTCATGGGATGGTTCAGTCGGTGTCATCAAAACTTGGTCAAAAGGTCGACTGTCGACTGCTGCTTTAGAATCTAGAGAAATGATCACTCACCAATAAATCAATAAATTAGCAATTTCACTTTACCATTATTTTTGGAGGTTTATGTTTTATTATATAGTGGCCTAGTATCATGGATATTTGTGAACTCATCCTTTTTGAGGCACCCGAACCACGCGCCTGCTTTGTTGTCCAACTCTGCGAAGACGGCGGAACTGACCATGGAAAGCTCATGCCTTGAGACACGCAGGGAGTCTCTGGGAATAAAGGCACCATGGCTCACGATTTTCATCAGCTCTGGATGCTAATGCACTGGGAACACCTTGTGAAAAACACACCTTGAATCATCTAGCATCTCTTGATGCTGTTTTTTCCAATACCCAGCATCACGAATACGTACACCTTGGTTTGATTATATTCCAGGGATCATCACCCAATCCCTACCCCGCCCCAAGCCAAAAACGTGGTTTTCCCTTACGTCTTTGAGACGGGTAAAACAAGGGGAGACAGGTCATGATATGTCAATCAGGGGTTATACGTTGAATATAAAAACCATCATCAACCTTTATTAGAGCCTAGTTAAAACACCAAATCTTGGATCCGTGTCAACGTTGCTATAGGGGTGGGTAATCATCATTGGTTCACCCTGTGGCACCTTGTATGCTTACGCTAGTTGTATATCAGGCGGGTTCTTAAAATGGTTCCCCAAGTCACCATGTTTCAAGACTAAACTTGTCATCTATGACTTGGAGGATGCAAGGGGGTGCCGCCCATTGGGCGGCGATGAGTTTCTAAGATCACCCACTTGTGAAGTGATTCTTCCGTTTCCTGTCAGCTGACATCATCAACCCAATGCGACAGGCCTAGGAAAAAACAGTGGAATTCCCTTCGTGCAGACAGCCTCACTTCATCTCATTTCCGCTAGTTCTATATAGAGTATCATGTCATGTGATTGAATATGAAATCGAACATGACATGCCCAATCTGGTTGGATATATACGATCTTCAGGGTGTTTCCGATCTTGGAGCAGAGTGGCTTTGGCTCAGTAAAACCGAGCCGAATTTCAGCCCCTCATGGCAATCATCAAAGTCTAATGCGGTAAACCCAGCAATACACCTCCAAAATGGGATGACAACACTACCCGATTTCTGGTGAAGGTTGGGATTCTTTCTAGTAACCAACGAACACATTATCAGGCATAAGACATCATAAGACATAATTTACCTCCATTTTCGTAGACTGTTTCACTCCTTTTTTTTTTGGCGCCAAAGGCGGGGTGTTGGAAAAGCAGCCAAGTTACGCATGAGTGCCACCCACGGGCGGCAAGAGCTCACCTGTGACCTTGGATATCTTGGATATCGGATGATGTCCAAATAGGTTTATTATTGGGGTGATACTTAAATACTTATTATTTGTTTATTTTTATTATTTCCAATATAGGTGAATGGAGTGAGTGGAACATTTTCAACTTTCAATTTTTTAAATATCATTTTGCTGGAGATTGCTGTGTCTTCCTGATTAGCCTATTCCGGCTATTCCGGAAAAAAGGGATATGGGTTGGTTGAAATCATCCACTGGTTCATCATCCTATATCCTTTTCCCCATCTGGTTGGTGGTTGAGCCACCAACCCATCTGAAAAATATGAAAGTCGCCTGGGATGATGACATTCCCACTATATGGAAAAATAAAACATGTTCCAAACCACCAACCAACCATTAAATTCGGTATACCACATTTTCAGACGTCCACATCAAATATGGGCCAAATGCAATCCATTGTCGAATGGTTCTGGTCAAATTGCGCCAGCATTATCGCCCTATTTAAACCTCAAATTCAGTAGAAATCTTCACATTGTGCTTCCAAATCCTTACGAAGATTGGACTGGCAGCACGTGGGAGATCAGAAACCTCCAAGTTTGCTGGATGTAGGTCTTTTGATATATCCACCTCTCTCCAACCTGGATTTGCAGATGGGGGCAGTTTTTCTCCATTCAAAACATCCAGTTCCGAAAAATGGTGGATGAACGCATGGGAAAATGAGAAACACAAATCTTCAGCAAATCGAGGTTAACCTTACTTCACTTTGTTTATGTCAGCAATTTCAGCCGACCAAAATACCAAACACCAACGTTTCTCCCCAAGCGGTTTCTCCAAAGAAATCCAAGAAACACCTGCGTCTTTCAACCAGTAGTGTGCTGTGACTGACGAAGTGCCCAAAGACAAACAGTTTCCTCGCGGTTGAGATCTGTGGGAAAGGGTATCAATTGATGTGTCTGAAAATCGGGGATTGATCCCCAATTCACGGCAATTTTCCCATACTTCAAATTGGGAAACATGTTGAGAACCCATGGGATTTTGAGGTATAACCCATTTTCAGACAAAGCCAAGCTATCTAAATATCCATCAAACCCATATCCAAACCCAACTTGTGGTACTAGGTTCAGCTGTTCCTGGACAGTTTAATGAATATTGCGTTCCCAGAATTGGTTTATAGGACCCCTTATTTTCTCGGAACATGTGATGGTTTCCTGCACATGACACCTTCAAATTGATGGAATGACGGTCCGTCAGATTTTCTCAAAGAATGTGCACTAACATCTGCAGATATATTGCCAGACTAACATAATATCAGCAAAAAAATGCAGTATATTACCCTCTGGTAAACGTTTACATAGCGAACTGGAAAGTCAACATGTTACAGCTGGGTCCCATTCAGCTATTTCAATGGCCATTTTTTATAGCAAACTGTTGACATAACCAGAGGGTAACTATATCTAACACAACTTGGGAAGGATCACATCCCATATATTATGAAAAAAATCCAGTCATGTTTCAAACCAGCAACCAGATGCAGTATTTTTTTATCCCCCAATGTCCATAAATTATGGCCTTTTTGGCAGGCTCGTCCTGCTGCATCCTTGAGGCTGGAGTGGATGAACCTCGGGAGGCAAGCTTCAGATGTCATGGGGAATCTATGATAAACATATTGGTGTATAGTTGCCTTAATGATGATACTTATAGTTTATAGTTATCTTATAATTAAACAATCTATAATAAACATGTTGGTGTATAGTTATCATAATGACAATCAGACGTATGTTATCTTAATGATTATATTAGTAACTTATGAGGATTGTATTATTTTATATACAATCAGACCTATACTAATATATAGATATTCTTTTGTATGTAACAATGTGGAAGTTATATCTAAATCCCCATTTGGATAAGCTGGGGATGATAATGGCTATCCTGATTGTTATAGACTGGGTATCCAATTGATATCTAATTCGAAGATACTTATCAAATCAAATGGATAACGAAATCAACTGGGTATAAAATCTATTATAAGTATAACCGGTTTTACTATACTGGATTACATTGGCCATATTAATGGCATATCTAATAATATAATACCATCATAAACAATTATATATGGATTGGTATTAGATGATTAGATAATATTAGATATACAATTATATCAAATATCAATTAGATATCAATTGGATCCAGAATCAACAATGTTTCAATTTTTTTTTCCGGAACACACCATTTTTATGTTTTTCCCACAGGCATGGATATTGGAATATCAAGGGGGCAATTGGGTGACTATTGATAACAACAATGGCTACTTGAACCATGACTGTCCACCATTTGTATTCCATATCCCCTTATATCCAAATTTTTTCGTATATATTAGCCCACTAAATCCCATTAAATCATATTACAACCCATATTATCACATTAAATCCCATATATATATATATGTATATTTATACATACATATATCCCATATATATTCCGTAATTATCCCACATATGTATATGTATATATGTATATATGTATATATGTATATATGTATATATGTATATCTGTAAATATGTATATATGCATATGTATGTAAATACACATATATAAATATATGTATTATGAAGATTTATGAAGTATGGGAATCATCTCTCTCTCTCTCTTTCTCTATAACACAATGATACATAATGTATTATCTTATGATATCCAAATATTTACGATACATTTCCCATATTTCTCCCAGCTCCCATGGCGCATTCCCTGCGAGGCACATTCCCTGCAGCAACATCAGCGCCAGACCGCCAGTCCGTCGACCTGACTATATGGGCCACCGTTGATGTGAAACAACGATTTTGTGATATTTTATGGTCATCCATGACTTGGATGATTTGGGTGTGTACCTCAATGACTTAGGAAACCTCTATTTACTAATTGTAACCATATCATGTTATACTAATCATAACATGGTATGCCCATAACTATTGTAATATGGTAGATTATTGACATGGTCTTACATCCGAGGTAAAAACTTAACATGGTTATATTCATAAGTATACTATACCTCAGATATGATGTTCATATAACGAAGCGAACATGACCAAACCTGAAAGAAGAGTGGTGGAACATAACGATCACATGAATAAGGTTGACCATTTAAACTGGAAAATCAGGGGAAATAATTAAAACAACCGTCGAACATGATAGATAAATTTGCAGGTTTACCAACACGCTCATTGGCAACAAGGGCTATCAAGTATGACTAATCTTCAGAAGCGTTACCATTGAAAAACATAATCTGAATTTGTGTGTGTCTTTTTGCGGTTGTCTGTTCATCCGATGAGCTGCCAACATATAGATTTTCTACACTGGAAAAATCTTATGAATCTAATTAAGGCTACTGCTCAACCTGAAGGCACAACTTCCGAGCATGCATGCTACCAGTATGTGGGTTATCACATACTTGGGCCGCCGCATTTCGTGCGGCAAATATGTTTATATATCAGCAGCTGTCTCCATACAACCACATATATGAGGTTTAAGGTCGGCCCCATATAAGCCCATTCAACCTATATATTTAAATGACTATCTTTGAGTCATATGGTCCATCTTCTGCAAATGGTTTCCCTAGACCCCACCTGGGCCACACACGCAAATGTCCACGAGGCTCAGTTGAACAATCAGTCCTGCTGAATTTTGCGGTGATGGGCCCAGACTTTAAGACCTTTATGAAATACAAAAATGGCTCTTCAAGTGCCGTCACATCTTCAAAGTACCAACCATGCGTTTTCTTATACGGAAGTTCATCGTCAACCACGTGCCACGTCTGGAGCTCCTTGAAGCGATCCATCGGCTGGTTTTTTTCACCCAGGATGCAGCCGTTCTGTCCAATCCAGGTGCTTCGAAGTTTTGCACCTGATCCCCTCACTTCGATCGATTTGCCATGGCGCACAATTTTGTCGAGCTAGTCAGACTTGACTTGAAGGATCCGATCCCCTTCTCGTGGAGGGCCTTCAGGTGATTGCACCGCACGATCGGCAGCCGGCTTCTGTTTGGCTGATGGCATCGCTCTCGGAAATTGTCTAGGTGCAAGTAAAATGAAAAGTGGACGTAGAAAATTGAAAACTCGCTGATCTTTATAGTGCCACCCAAAATGAAAACCCTTTGACATGATTGCCGAATACAATTGGGCTTCTGCCACCAGCATGGGAATACATATATATATATATATACATACATATAAATATATATAATAACAATAGTAATAAACACAACAAGAATAATAATTAATAACAATAGTAATATATATATATGTATATAATATCCTTGTTTTACCGTTCACCATCACAATAATATCTCCACCTATTTCTCGGAAAAAATGTGTGGAAAACAGAGGGGTTTGGTCAGCGCCCTCTTCTGTATAGTTCCTTGAAGTTTTGCCCAGGGATGAACACCAAACAGTGTTTGTTGACATCTTGCTGATCTTCCCTGTGCCAAAAACTTTTTATGATATCCCATGCTATGCCATCTATCTTGAAAACAGGCAGGCAAGTATCTATATTGACTTCAAAAATAGAATAGAGTAAATCACACAGTCCACCCGGCCTGTCATAATGATGCCGCGCATCTTACTTTGTCCAGCGGCTAGAACGCTCCTGTCACGGCGGAGCTGGAGACTGAGAATGAAACTGGTTTTGACCAAAAAGCGAGGATTTATCTCTTCAGTTTCAATCACTTTAGAAATCCACATTTTCATACTTTGTTCTTGTTTTCCGGATATTTTAGGTATTTCAGGAGATTGAAGATTCTGCCTACAAACATGAATCCAGAAAAGAGGATATGTAGACTCTGACTACAATTGGAGATAATCACCCACAAAAAGTGAGAGGCTACAAAAGTCACTGAAACCACTGTGCAGTATATGTTTAAAAAGCCGATTGGTGGTAACTAGGAGCACGGCCTTTAGATGGCCGTGTGTTTTTTTGATTCATGGGATGTTGTTGATCACGTTTGATTGCTCGTGCCAATAGGAATTCGTGCGATTTTAGTGTAAAGGCCGTGAGCACCTTAGTTCCAAGCAGAAAAATGAAAACAGTCATTTCGCCTACACTAAACCTCCATTTTGGGGTCTTCTTCAATGACCTCAACTAATTCGTATGCACAATTTTTCAGCCGTCGTTTGTTCACAGCAGCGCTTCCAGTTCTTCCAAGAACCTTTTTAGGATCTGGATTCTGCAAGCTTGATCGCCAGCACCACATGAACACATATTGTGTCACAGAGGGGTGCAAAGTGGAATTGTCCACGCTCTTTGCATATCAAAACCATGTGAGCTGGCAAGAAATCTTTCAAAGACTTACACTAGCGTAGCATGACGTATGCGTGGAAGTCCAAGAGAACGTACAGTAGCGTAGCATGACGTATGCGTGGAAGTCCAAGAGAACGTACAGTAGCGTAGCATGACGTATGCGTGGAAGTCCAAGAGAACGTACAGTAGCGTAGCATGACGTATGCATGGAAATCCAAGAGAACGTACAGTAGCGTAGCATGACGTATGCGTGGAAGTCCAAGAGAACGTACAGTAGCGTAGCATGACGTATGCGTGGAAGTCCAAGAGAACGTACAGTAGCGTAGCATGACGTATGCGTGGAAGTCCGAGAGAACGTACAGTAGCGTAGCATGACGTATGCGTGGAAGTCCAAGAGAACGTACAGTAGCGTAGCATGACGTATGCGTGGAAGTCAAAGAGAACGTACAGTAGCATAGCATGACGTATGCGTGGAAGTCCAAGAGAACGTACAGTAGCATAGCATGACGTATGCGTGGAAGTCCAAGAGAACGTACAGTAGCATAGCATGACGTATGCGTGGAAGTCAAAGAGAACGTACAGTAGCATAGCATGACGTATGCGTGGAAGTCCAAGAGAACATACAGTAGCGTAGCATGACGTATGCGTGGAAGTCCAAGAGAACGTACTTACAGTAGCGTAGCATGACGTATGCGTGGAAGTCCAAGAGAACGTACAGTAGCGTAGCATGACGCATGCGTGGAAGTCCAAGAGAACGTACAGTAGCGTAGCATGACGTATGCGTGGAAGTCAAAGAGAACGTACAGTAGCATAGCATGACGTATGCATGGAAGTCCGAGAGAACGTACAGTAGCATAGAATGACGTATGCGTGGAAGTCAAAGAGAACGTACAGTAGCGTAGCATGACGTATGTGTGAAAGAGCCAGTGACGTTAGTATCCCACCCCACCCCACCCCATCCCCCACCCATGAATACATGCCCCAACCCCGACAGCCACAGCGTAGCATCTACTTCATGTGCAAGTTCACAGGAACGCTAATACATGCCCCACCCCACCCCACCCCACACCCCACCCCCGTGGTCCAACTAGTGTATGATCAACGGATCGGATATTTACCACATTTACTATAGTTGGTGCTTCTTAGATCTTCTTGTGATGCCTCCTTAGCACTGGGTTGGTTTAAGGGGAAAATGGGAACATTTCCGGGACACCCTGTTGCCATGAATTAATTTAAACACTAGGCAATTGCCTGTAAACTCATCCTTTCATCCCACTGTTAGACATGAAACACCTTCGATTTTGCGTTACCACTATCAATGGATTGATGCTGCCAGGACAATTTGCAAGAAACCCGTGGCCATAAATTCAAGGGGGGTTCAACCGTTTCTTTCCATGTTTCGATTGCTTCAAATGGTTTAGTTTCACCCAACTATAGTACCTACAAATGGAATTATCATTAAAAAAACAATATTGATCCATAATTCGTCATATATATATATAAATGTCTATCGATCTTTATCATGATATCTGGAATATATTATTATGATATCTTAATATCTAAGATTAAGATTCCAGATACATATAGTGAATATATTATTACTTTTTTATACTTATGGAATGTCAAATCTCTCCAGGTCCTGGCTCCCCGGAGGAAGGCATCGGCCAGCCATTTCGCATACCAATGCTCGTCCTCCTCGCCGTACCTCACGGGTTGCACGCCTTAAAAAGGAAGGGGGAAAGGGGACTCCATGATTCAAAAACCATGGGGAGATATTTTTTTTTGGCAGATGGACTAAGTTTAATGTTGAAAGATGTTGAAACCTCAAATAAACGAGGATTTCAACTGATGTTTACAGACATGTTTAATGTTTTTGCTTAGGCTTAGTCTGGAAGAATGAAGCGAAAAGAACACCGTTTTCATAAATACGGATAAAGCATAACGAGCAAATAGGGAATGTTTCTTGTACCACAGGTTGGCATGTGAGAGGGTTGAACTTGGCAAATATTGAGGTCCTTTGGTACGCATGACATGGTAGCATATTCCTAACCTTAGATACCCAAACAATCAGATCAGTGTCTAGTCTCTTTGGTGGGACGAATGACATATTCGATTTACCCGATGATGTCCTTCCATACAAAGGTTGCTCCCAACACCATGGATATAAGGGGGCGGACATTGGCAAGCCAAAGAGGTATGTAAATCACTAAATGTTCCACTCGCGGCTATCATTTATCTTCAGTTGGAGCAATCCTGAGACCTGCTATACCACTATAAAATACTATAAATCAATATGAATCAATATACCAATATATACCATAGCTATTTCTTTCGATTGTACCATGTTGTACCTGCCTCTGGATATATACTGAGTTGGTGACCAAATGCACAGATCTAATGAATCTCCTGCGCATCCGTCTGACGCCACAGCGCCACAGCGCGGCGCCTCTCACGCATCCTTCGTCGAAAGAAGGATTCGTAGATCCTAACGAGTCAAACGAGTCACTGAAGAATCTGGCTTTGATGGTTTTGATGGGCTTGGATAAGTTTTTTTTTAGACATAAAAGGACTACCCCTACCAAACAACTTGACATGCAAAGAAGTGGAAACCAAAGTGAGATTTTGTCAAGGGCTTGCAAACACATGGAAAATAAGGCTAAATTTAATATCCCATTGACATTTCCCATTTGTACCAGATTACAGTACTATCCCATTTATCAGATTAAGATGGCCAGCCAAAAAAACAATTTAGATTGCCCAGTCATGGTGGATTTACCATTGGGAAAATAAACCACCACCTTCAGCAAACCCAAGTTTTTACCTATCGTTAATTTGGTTATACATGTCCCATTATATCCCAATAATATGATAGATGTTAATAGCAATGGTTATTATGTAAATTTATAGTTATATAATTCCTAATTCAATGGTTTACTATTTTCTCATTGGGAAAATATTTTTCACCCTTCAGCAAAGCCAGGTTGTTGCTTCGTCATTTTTCGTTTGCCAAGTGGATCCTCAAACCGTTCCCAGCCCTAAAACTCCGAGAAGCACTTGCATCATACCTGAAGGGCTGGGTGGCTGAAAATGGAGGATGGATATGGATGGATCCCCGATTCACGGCAATCTACCCTCTGGTAAACGTTTACATAACTATGGAAAGATCCACCATTTTTCATGGAACAAATCACTATAAATGGTGATTTTCCATAGTTATGTTAAATTACGAGTACCAGAGGGTAAATATTTCAAATTGGGAAAATGTTAAGAACCCAATGGGAGTTTGAGGTATAACCCATTTTCAGACAAAGCCAAGCAATCTACATATCCATCAAACCCATATCCAAACCCAACTTATGGTACTAGGTTCAGCAAATAATAGCCCGTTCCTGGATGAGCGAGTTTGATGAATATTGCATTTCTAGAATTGCTTTAGAGGAACAAATAAACCAGACCCCCCTAAAAAAATTCTTGGAAAATGTGATGGTTTCCTGCAAATTTTATAGCTTCTAACAAACTCCATTGCCAACCTGTTCAATTCATATATAAAACCAATCCCAGCCATACAGCGGCGCCGTGGGTCGCTCCACCATGTTCACCAGAGCTTCACGTCTGTTGCTGAGCTAAAGGCCAGTCACCTGCCGTCATAACTTAAAGGTTCAGTGACTGCTGCTTGCGCTTGGGTCACAACCTCTTTGATTCCTGCATGCCATTTCATGCCATTTCTATCCATTTCTTCTCAGCGGCAGCAACAGCCTTGTGGTGCTGTTCGCTGAGGAACCAATCTCGCTCATACTGAGGAAAAATGCTGATGCTATCTTGCACCGATGTCCACCAATACCGGCCGCTCGGCCAAACGAACTTGTAGATCTGCGGCTGATCAAAGGCGTCCTGCTTCAGAACAGCCCGCAGTGTCTTGGCCAAGATTTCTTCTGCGCTGCCCAGTTGAATGACGCCTAATCTTGAGGCACCTAACCATGCACCACTTCATACAATTTCACATTAAAATGATTAAGGTATGATTCCAATAAGCATGAATAGACAAGCATCGTGAATTATGCATAAGCATGATTGACACGCAAAAACGACCCATGAACGAGACACGCGAAAAAGAAGATTCGCCAGAATCTCCCGGTCCACCGGTTCGCAAAAACGCCCCCAAAAACAAACGGCTGTTAGTAAACATCATATTCCACAAGCCCAGTCCGGTCCTGTAGGTCCCATCAAACAGTGAATACCTTTCGGTAATCCAACGTGGATAACGTGGCAATAAAAAATAAGACTGTTCACCAGAAAACATCGTCAAAGAAGGTTGAATTTGTGTGTGTGTGTTTGATTGGTTCAGCTCGTGTCTGCTTGGTTTTGAGTCTGGTAACCAATGATTTCTCTGCAAAAACATCATCAAAAATGGAATCTTCTTGGGTTAACTACTGATCGGAATCTGTGAACTCCGCTGAACTCCGTTTACCTCGCTAAATCTGCTAAGCCTACCCTTTTGAGACATGAACAATACCCCTATCTATCATGGTTGGTAAGCAAGTATGCAGTGACAATCACAATCCTCAATCCATCCATACTTATGGGGATTTCTTGCAATACTCAAGGATTTAGGGGATTCTGTTTCAACATGATTTAACTAAAGTCATGCTGTGGGTGGTCAAAAATTGAGATACTGCTAAACTGGATAAATATGAACAGAATTTGCGGGAAGCACAATAAGACTAGTGCAACATTGGATACCTGGATTCCAATGGCCAGGTCAACGCATAGTGCGAAAAAATGGTTGGTCATCCCCATGATGGGAATCCATCCTGTCGCCACATAACTCTCATTTGAAAAAATGGATTGATAGTAGGCATACCATCTAGAACATATAAAGTATGATGTGTATATATATATATACATCTATATATATATATATACCATCTGGCTATCTAACAGTTTGCCATGGAAAGATCCACCCATCGTTAAGAACTGTAAACCATCTATAAATCGATTAGCCATCGATATTTACCATGGCTATGTAACAGTCATAACCAGAGGGTATCTGTATCCAGATCTGTATCTAGATGTGTATCTAGATGGTGTGTATATAAAAATATATAAAGTATGATGTGTATATACGTATATATATATATCTATCTGTATCCAGATCTGTATCTATATCTGACCTATTAGGATTTTTTTCCCCATGGCCCCATGGCGCTCCGCTCCAACTCGACCATCCGATTGCCCAGGTGCTGGTCTCCAACCACGTCACCCTATGCCAGGGACCTCGATGACCATGATATAACCAAAGATATTCATACTAGTAGCTATTCTATGATACTATATGATATTATATGATATTATATGATATTATGTGGTACTATATGATATCATATGATATTATGATATATTGTTCATATATTGACATATTATATATATATGTTTCATCATGATATTCATCAATAAACCACAATTCATCATGTTTACAATCATTGACCAATCGAATTCACTGACCTTTCCCGAGTTTCTATTTGTCAACAAAAACCTCCAAGCAGTGGAATCTGGGCTTTGCTGAAGCAAATGATCAAGTTATGCTTGTTGATCTCAGGAAGGATGGACCTTTCAAACACATTTTCCATCAGCCATCAACCAGTGATGACTTTTTATTTTTCTTGATAGTTGATTCCAATGGAATGTGCTGGGACCACCCCAGCAGCCATCATTTCTCAATGAGAGATCCATTACTTTTGGGTGTTTAACACACCAACACACCCATTTGGTATCATTTCATGCTAAGCTTGCCCCCATTTTGCTGGCTACCCTCTGGTATTTCAACACTTTGCAAAGTCGAACATCACCATTTTTAGTTCGGTACATCATCGAACAAGTTTCCTTGGCCATGACTTCCAGTTCGCTAGCTGCTAGTCATTGAGGGTATATCCATAGATTTAGTTGGTGATAAAACAAACAAAAAATGCAATTTTTGATGGTGAACTCCCGTTGCATCCTGATGATATTTCATGATCAACATATTCAACATATGCTTAAATCTGGTTCATCTCAGCTGATGATATGTGACATTTTTACATGCAATCCCACTAAACAATCATTGAAATCACATCAGCTATTCAAGAAATCATCATGAAATCCCATTCGACTCCATCCCAGTATACTGGTTAGTACATATTCCTATCATGGGTTAGTTCAGCTTTCCCCCCAAAAAAACCAGTTAGATTGATAACTCCCAAGAAACCATTCTGGATAATTGAACATACCCTCTGGTAATTTGTAACATAGCTATTGAACATGGCCCATTTATAGTGGATTTTCCCATTAAACATGGTGATTTTCCACAGTTTTTTGTATGTTTACCAGAGGGTATCCAGACTAATCCATGATCATGATTGTTGGTGATATATGGGGATGGGAACATCAAAATAGCTGGGATTTATGGATGTTCAATGATGTTCATCCCCTAAAAATGCTATTTATAGGTATTGAATGGTATTGATCTATGGCCATATACCATCATATCTCCATCATATCTGCATTTATGGTTGGTTCTACGATAGTTATTCCACCAACGTTGACCCCGTATATTCTTTGATCATGGCTTAGTTCATTTTCACCAAAGCAAGTGGGTCAAATATCGTTGATAACATAATAAATAATGGTACTTGCCAATAAACGGTTAATATGAATGTTCATAAATAACATCATGTTTATCCCATGTTACCCCGATAAATTGGTTATATGATATTTATTTCGGATCTTATAGGGTGAAATGGAGTTAATACCAACAACATTATACATCCATCACCAACAATTATGATGTTATCATATAAATATCATATAAATACCAATCCATACGCTGTTGTTTATAGGGTTATATGATCAATGGGAATTTCAGGATCCTAAAATGGAGGTACTGTACCATATAAGGCCATATTTTCTGGGGATATTCCCTTACATAGGCCTGAAAAATAGGCCTTATATATGGTAGGCACCTCCAATCTAGGTTCCTGAAATGGCCATTGATATGATAATAGCTCCCAATAAATATCATATAAATATCATATAAATATCATATAAATATCATATAACTATCATGTGAAACTATCATATAAATATCATATAAATATCATGTGAAAATATCAACCCATATGCTGTTGTTTATTGGCTTATATGATATCATAGTTAACGATAACATGTTCATCCAACAGCCAGCCATAAAAACGGTCGCCGTTTCCAAGGCACCGGTGGCTTCCACAAAGAGTCGCTCCTGGCCTGTCTTCACGTCCACGCCTATGAAGGCCTGGGATATCTGGGATTTTGGAAAACGTCAAGGCCACTGATGGATTAATATAATCATATGGGATATAATCATTATGGGATAATCATATGGATATAATCATTAATTGATTAATATACCCTCTGATAAGCTAACATAACTATGGAAAATCACCATTTTCAATGGGTAAATCCACTATAAATGACCATTAATATCATTAATTGATTAATATAATCCATGGGATTAATAGAAAATTAATTGATTATGAAAAAACGATTGTTAATTTTCATCATTTTTTCAGCGATTGATGGATGAAAACATATGCTGAAAAGATGATGAAAAAAACCATCCCAGATCTGACAAATGATTGATATGAGTTATAAGATGCTTAATGGGATTATTAATACGATGATCCCAGATATTCTTATCTAATGGGATTATTATTAACATCTGGGATCTAATATCTGGGATTTTAATGGATTTAATCCATCTTGGATTTGATGATGGATCAATAATGATAATGATCTACTGGGATACGAGTTTTGGGTCTTGAGATCCAATACTCGCACAAGACCAAGGTTTAATGATCTACTGGGATTTACAATTGATTCAAGAATTTAATGTTGATGAATCAATCATGATCAATATAGGGAGTTTATACGAACATAATACGAAGCACTGGGTAGTTTAATGCCATCCAAAACATGAACATTGAAATATCAACATATGTATATATATATATGTATAATATAAACATGTATGATATAAAAATGTATGAATATGTATGTATACCATCAAATATGGGCAAAATATGAACCAAACGTCCAGTGTTCACCCTTAGGATTTCCCCACCTGCACCAAGACATCCGAAGGCTTGGTCGGCAAACGTCTTGTACCTCCGGGTAGGGATTCCTTCGGTGATTTTTTAACAATCCAATGGGCTTCCATTCAAACATCCGGTGTAATCCTATTGAAGACTTCTAGGAATATATATATATATATCTGGGTAAATTATAATAATTCACTAATCTGAAATAAGGCCATAAAAGGGGATGATTTCCCTTATTGACCATGATTTCCAGTGAGGTCGCAGTGAGGTCGTTATGATTTACCCATATATATATATATATATCGAAAATTCGTTAACCGAACAGGACATTTGCCCCACTTGTAAGCTTGATGGCTAGATATTCCGCAAAGATGGAACAAATGGGAATTGTAAACTCACCTATGGAATCGATAAATGAAAATTCACGTTTGTATATATATATATATATTATATATATTATAACTACATTAAGTAAAAGATAACTGAAGGATTTTCAATTGTGGAGTTTGTTTGAAGCCCAGATGACTCCACCATTTGTCGATGAGGCAAAAACGACATACAGCGGAATCTGACACATGATAAACATGTCCATTTCCTGGAGGCAAATACGATCCTATTTTGATATCAATTGTCGGGTGTTGGATTATCACCAAAAAACCGGAAGGTTCTCTCACACATGTGTCACATGCGCCAAGACGTGGTGTCAGACCAAACTTTGGGTATTCAAAAGTAGCCTCAGCTAGCGACTTGACCCAAACACAAGCAGTGGAATTTGAAACCTGCCAAAGCATTGATACATAACAATTCCAATGCTGAACATGTCAGAACATCAACGAAATTCACCAAGATCTTCCCAGTTTCGGGATCATCCCAGCTCAGATGGACTCTAAATATATATATATATTTAAATAGCCATTAGATCATCAATTTTTGGAGCTTCACAAGTCCATGAACTCTGGAGACTTCACAGATCGATTGGACACTGAAATCTGCCATATCTCCCATGATTTTTCTGTGACGAAACCATGAAAACCACCATTTTTCTGGAAAAAAAACCGTTGAACACCTGCCATTTTTACCCACCATTTTTCAGCTGGAAAAGCGATCAAGGCTGCCAGGCCTTTGGGATCCAAGTCCAACTCTTGGACCATGCTCCTGACGTCACGGCGTAGCGTCGCATCGCAGCATCTGCAAAAACCAGGTCTTCTTTTACCAGAAAAAATGCCATGACCATTGATTAAACATTGGTAAATGCCATGATTAACCCTCAATTACCATTGATTAATCATTGATTAACCATTGATTGACCCTCAATTACCATTGATTAATCATTGATTAACCATTGATTAACCCTCAATTACCATTGATTAACCGTTGATTGACCCTCAATTACCATTAATTAACCATTGATGAACCATTGATTGACCATGGATTAACCATTGATTAACCATTGATTCACCCTCGATTAGCCCTCAATTACCATTGACTAACCATTGATTAACCCTCAATTACCATTGATTAATCATTGATTAACCATTGATTAACCATTGATTAACCCTCAATTACCATTGATTAATCATTGATTAACCATTGATTGACCCTCAACTACCATCGATTAACAGTTGATTAACCATTGATTATCATTGATTACCCATTGATTAACCATTGATTAACCCTGAATTACCATTAATTAATCATTGATTAACCATTGATTGACCCTCAATTACCATTGATTAATCATTGATTAACCATTGATTAACCATTGATTCACCCTCAATTACCATTGATTAACCCTCAATTACCATTGATTAACCATTGATTAACCCTCAATTACCATTGATTAACCATTGATTAACCCTCAATTACCATTGATTAACCATGGATTAACCCTCAATTGCCATTGATTAACCATTGATTAACCAATGATTAACCCTCAATTACCATTGATTAACCATTGATTAACCCTCAACTAACCATTGAATAACCCTCAATTACCATTGACTAACCCTAAATTACCATCGATTAACCGTTGATTAACCATTGATTACCATTGATTGACCATTGATTAACCATTGATTACCATTGATTAACCATTGGTTAACCCTCAATTACCATGGATTAGCCATTGATTAACCCTCAATTATCGTTGATTAACCATTGATTAACCCTCAATTACCATTGATTAACCCTCAATTGCCATTGATTAACCCTCAATTATCATTGATTAATCATTGATTAACCATTGATTAAAACTCAATTACCATTGATTAACCGTTGATTAACCATTGATTACCATTGATTACCCATTGACTCACCATTGATTGACCTTCAATTGACCATTGATTATCCCTCAATTACCATTGATTAACAATTGATAGCCATTGATTAACCATTGGTTAACCATAGATTAACCATTGATTAATCACTGATTAACCATGGATTAACCTTTGATTAACCATTGATTAATCCTCAATTACCATTGATTAACCCTCAATTAACATTGATTAACCCTCAATTACCATTGATTAACCATCGATTAACCCTCAATTACGGTTGATTAACCATTGATTAACCCTCAATTACCATTGATTAACCATTGATTAACCCTCAATTACTATTGATTAAACCTCAATTAACCATTGATTAACCCTCAATTACCATTGATAAACCCTCAATTACCATTGATGAACCCTCAATTACCATTGATTAACCTTCAATTACCATTGACTAACCCTCAATTACCATTGATTAACCACTGATTAACCCTCGATTACCATTGATTAACCCTCAATTACCATTGATGAACCCTCAAATACCATTGATTAGCCATTGATTAGCCATTGATTAACCACTGATTAACCCTCAATTAGCATTGATTAACCATTGGTTAACCTTCACCCGCAGACTTAACAACATGTACGAGTCAAAACACAAAGTTGGAGTTTACCAGAGAAATATGGATAGAATCACCACAGAACATGTGGCTTCATGGAGATGCCATAGATGCTTTCGCATTTTCCCCATGTTTGAAGCTTTCCAAATCTTTCCAAACATCAAACGATTGGTTTTGGAAGTCGGTGGATTTCAATTGCTTGGTGCAGGGATCACCATCCCAAAGGTACCAACACCGTTAAATTGCCATGTTTCGCAAAGGGAAAGGGAGCCATGATGCAGGGTGCCCCACTAACCCTATGTTTGTTGCTTTAGGAAGTTTATAATCCCCTGTAACTTTGGTGACATTCCCCATAAACCCTAGTTGTTGGAGTTGTGTTCACCAACTTAGCTAACTATGGATGGAAGAAATCACCCCTTATAATCCCATTCAACCAACAGTGTTTTATGGGAATCCCAATAGTCACCAATTATGACAAACATTGAGAAACCATTGGTAAACCAGTTGGCCAATTCTCAAAAATTATCTGGTTGGTAATTTCTCTGGTTGGTGGTTGACCTACCCCTCTGAAAAATGATGGAGTTAAACTCAGTTGGGATGATGATAGTCCCAATATGATGGAAACAACATGTTCCAAACCACCAATCAGTTCTATTTCTTATCCCCATCTGGGTAAATTATAATACTTCACTAACCTGAATGGTTCGGCCATAAAAGGGGATCATTTACCTCAAATAAACCATGATTTCCAGGGCTCGGGAGAACGACGTGAGGTCGTGATGAAATTTACCCAGCTCCACAAAAAATGGCCGGAAAATTCCCCAAAAATCTGATCAGTCGCCAAAAAATGGACGCCTCGGGGTATCTGCGCCACAGACTTCCCGGAAGGTCTCAGCATCCTCAAAAAGGCTGATGCACCGAAAATCGCCGATCTTCACCAGAATATGATGAATAAATGATGATTCACCCAAAAATTCTAGAAATTATGATGCACCAGAGAAAATTTGGGGGATACTGGGATAAGAATCTTTAGAGAAATCCAAATGGAGAGGATTTTACGGGAATATTCTCAAAATTTTACCACCAATGCTATTATTTTTTTTCACTTATCGGATATCTCGACACACACAAAGACAATTATTGAATTGCAGTTATATGTTATATCGTTGCTAAACAAAAACACGACACACGCGATCAATAGTGATACGTCCAAAAAGACACTGGTATCTATTGGTATCTTATTTGGGAGGATGACAAAATCAGTGAGATCATGGCCTAACAAAAGAACACAAGGATTTTGATACACAGTACATAACATGACGACATGGCCAAATAACTCAGATACCAATGCCAAAAAAAGATGTTACCTTGGCTCGGAACATCGATTGTGTGGGTGAACACAATTTACTCATTTAACAATCATGCAATTACGGAGGCTTGACCGCAAGATATCAGGAAAATGGGGTCAGGGATAATCATCACATCTTTTTGGGTGATGTGTATTAACCATATTCATTCAGCATGACAAACTGCACGGGGGATGTACTCTTCCCCTACATATGCACTAAGAGAATCAGAGACCGAACAAACACCGAACAAAACATGAACCATTTTCCCAAACTCTGAACACTGACCCCATCTGACCCCTGTATCCCCTGTCTCAATGTGACCAAATTGGTAGTTTCATGGCCAATCGATACCTGAAAGGACGGGATGCACTCTTCGTCGAGCTCCGATATGGTGCACCTTCTTGTCGTAGCGCTCTGGCCGGGTTTTCCATTTTCTTCGGCCCCCCCCACGTTTCGTGGGGCTTTGAAAGCAACTTTGAACCGGAACGTGGAGTACGAATTCCGCCGGAGTTGATCGAAATTGAGCACCAAACCTCTGTGAACTCCAATCTTCTGCGTCAAGTCAGCCCCATAAACCAGCATGTTTCAAGCCGTCTAGCTAGATCTCAATGTCAGTATGTCATGTCTGGCTGAAAAAACCAACCACAGCTGTATTGACATTTGGCTTCCATTTAATCATGAACCCCCTTTTTGTTCATCGGAAATTTTCACCATTCACCCCTTCCCCGGCCGTCCATTGGGAAACATCCCCGTGCCGTCCCCCTGGGTGGTTCCCTGGGCACCCGCACCCAGCTGAGCCCGGTGTCATCACAGGCGCGTTGGAAGAGAGGGACGTCAAAGTGACGCTGACTGAGTTCTTTCAGGCCATTCCTCGGCGTTGAGATAGATTTGGGCCCCACGTTGAGATAGATTTGGGCCCCAGGAATTTATGATGGGATTTGATGGTTTTGGTTGGTTTCCAGACCGGGAGTTTAAGCCTCAAGCTGTTTATCCAATGGATATAATGGTTTCATGGGGATATCATGAAGTTTTCTGGGGATAAAACTTGGATATAACCAATTTGATTGGGCTGGTTTGGAAAAGGATGTACCATAGATATCATCATAGATCCATAGGCGATCCGAACAATGGGAGTGTAATGCTTGCTCTTGGATGAGCCTGTCAAGGGCCACCAAAAAAGCACATAACCTTTGGATTCGCATTTTCCAACATGCGTACTGTTAGCTTTCATTCTTCTTTTAGGTTGTTGGAGATGATGTTTTTGTAATTTTTGTTTCCGGACATGTTATGCTGTGAGGGGTCAGTTTCTGTCTCTGAGCATGGTTCATAGGGTTGCCGTGTCGGCTAAACTGGTTAAGTCACACACACCTCCAACTTGTAAAATTAGACTGCGATTGAAAATAGCCCATGTTACAGAATGACCATAGTCCCACAAGAGCGCTTTACATACACAGAGAAAACAAGCCTCAATAGCGGTTGACCATGCATTCGATAGATTTGTCCTGAAACGGGGTGCCTGTTGTGAAGAACCATGATCTTTGACAAGATGCATATATATTATCTAAGTTACCCGGAAGCCTGGTGGCTGCTCACCAACACATTGTAAGCCAACAAAATTCCCAGTTCAAAAACTTAGAGTAATATCCACTTAAGTGGATAAAATATGATAAAATACCATAGAAATTCTATGGGTCCTGTTTTCCATCCACTTCCCCTGGGTCCAAAAAAGTGGTCCATCCTGGTCGTCGCGCGGAGGCCTCCATCCTGGGAGCCCACGCGTCAGCTCTTGGAACAACGCGCCCGGAGGATCTTGCCTCGGCGTTGCATCGGGTGGTGGAGATCAACTTAAATAGTGGTTAAAATCAGTGGTTAATAGTGGTAAATAGTGGTTTTACTGTTGGTTAATAGTGGTTAAAACCACCAACAGTATATATGTTTACCCCAATTATTGGAAGATATTACCTGAATCTCCATCTTTAAATGTTGAATGGTTCATGGTGAACCATGATGCTCCCCAATTTATAGGCTGTTTCAAGGCTGTTGAAAAATACTAGCCTAAACTTTATGAATCCCATTTCTATGGATACTCTCACGCGATTCAGAGTTTGCTTGCCCCAAATCTGAATTGATGTCACTATATCGTTCAATTCATAGCTTCATCACATCACTACAGTACTATCAATCCCTATTTAGTGGTTTGAATAAATCATCCACCAGTAAATCCATGTAAATCCCATAAAACCACCATGAAATTCTCCAAGAAACAGCGCATCACCAAGCCCGGAAAAACTGCCGAGTGACTTTGCCGAGTCCAGTAGGGCGGCGTTCAACTCTTTGTCCCTGATATTGGCGCTGAAAGTGCACTGGATTCGACCTAGGCCCACAGCCATGTAGATGTTGCCGGCGCGGATTTGAATGTGAGATGCTGAATCTGTTCCCAAACATGGATGATGTAATAGTTTTTCGCATATATATATATGTATATATATATGTATATATATGTATATATATGTATATATATATGTATATATATATATGTATATATATATATATATCGATATACCTTCTAGAAAATTGCGAAAACAACTCCAAGACTCAACGTGACGCCCTCAATCTGTGGCTTTTGGTTGGTTTGACTCAGAGCAGGTCATGGGTTTCCCATTTCGACTGGTTGGTGATAGCTGGTTGGTGGTGCAATAACCATCTTGAAAAATATGAATTCGTCAATGGGAAGGATGACAACCCATATATTGTGGAAAATAAAAGCCATGTTTGAAACCACCAACCAGATAGGGTCTCATAGGAAAAATAACACGCAGCACCTGCAGTACGTCATATGTTTCTGGCCCATATTAGTGAAATCACGTTGTGTTTCTGGGCCTAATGTGGGTCAAACAATCAACCATCCCCCAGTCATCACCATACATATATAGGATTTTTATAGGTGGCATGGTTACCATTCTCAGTCATGGGTGGTAAAAATGACATTGTTTTACCCACATTATTCATTAAATCTCATGGCTATACCACGGTTAGTCATTAACTATATCATATCCCATTAATATCCCATTCATATACCATTAATATTCATATATATTAACTAACATTAATATTCAGTAACCATTAAAAAACACGATCGAACTGCAGCCTTTTTCCCCAATGGCCTGTTCTCCAAAAATCCCGCCCGCAAGGCCTGTTTTCTTTTCCAATCTCCGGATCACAGGCATCATGGTCCATTTGTAGAAATCCTGGCGATGAAGGAAAATCCTGATGGATCTGATGGATCTATAGTCATTCCATAGATGACCCATCCCCAAATGGTCAAAAAGGTGAACCTTTTTAAAAACATAAACCCAAATAAATTTGCTACGAGGTTTTATTCAATTTGCTTTGCAGGTTTTACCACTTTGCTATTCCACTTTTGACCCCATGGGAAACCAGCCCACTGGGTGCCACTGCGTTGAAGGCGCTCGCAGGCAAGGTGTCGCCTGCGTACCCGGTGTAGCCATTGGCAAGGCCAGAAATGGGGAGGGAACAATGTCCCATTTTTGGGATCCCATCTGATTTTTTTGTCTGCTTAATTGTCTAGTTGTTTAGTCTGATATTGTTGGCGTTTTTTTTCATGATTTAGATAATTGAAACCCATAAAAACCCAGTAGAATCCATCGAAAATCCATTGACACCCATAAAAACCCAGTAAAATCCATCGACCTCCCCATAAAACAGCAGTATCTTGACACCTTGACAGGGCCTGGTGGTAGTTTGCCATTGGCGCCAAAGCGCTGCCAGGCGGCTTCCACCTGGCACCATGCCATGGAACTGGGGATATTCGGAAGGTCCAAGGTTTTCTAATTGGTGGTTGAGCCACCCCCCTGAAAAATGATGGAGTTCGTCAGATTGGATCATCATCCCCAATCTGGTTGGGGAAAATAAAAGCCATGTTCCAAACCACCAACCAGTTTTTTACTATGTAAGTTATGTATAATCAAATACAAAGTAAATATAATATCATAAAATATATATAATATCTGTATATATATATATTATAATTTGGGAGAATGATGTATAATCTTTATTATTATTATTCTTCACTGGGTGTATCACGAAGATATATCTGACTTCTGGATGGCCATCTGCACCTAAGAACCGTTGTCGAACGGTGAAGCAACGGGATTCAACGTCAGCTGCCTGGCTGGCTGCTATAGCTGCTATGCTTTCAGGGAACATCTGTAGGAGGGACTGGTGAATGCTGTCGATCTCCGGGACTGGTTGCGCCAGAGACGGTTGCCCAACTGGCGGAAGTTGCAGAAAGTCACCTGAGAGCCACGTCCACAAGCCACCAAATGTCTCAGTACATTGCTTTGCTGTTTGCGTGCGGTCATTGACTTGGTGCAATAGTTTCGGCGAGAGCATTCCACATTCATCGGCAGCACACTTGCAAATAACCACAGAAAACATATAAAACATGGGATTGCCTGTAAACATTAAGCCTTAAGCTTGCCGAAAAAGGTGCCACATGGTCCATATGGGCTTTTGATGCCTTCTGAGATGTTTCGATCCAATTTTTGGCCAATCAGATACCAAATTTTCGAGTCTTTTTCATCAGCCTCCCATCCTCCGTTGGAACACACCCCTGCTGAAGTAACCGGCAGATTGGCGATGTTGACATGACCAAAATGACCAAAAAATGCACACATGGTACAATGTGGGGCCCCCAAGATAGCTAAGTTGGTGAGCATAACTCCAATAACTATGGTTTATGGTACTTATAACTATAGTTAATGGTGTTTATAAACCAACAAACATAACTGGGGGCCCCACATGGTATGTGTTCTTTTGTGATTTTAAAATCTCATGCATGAAAATCCAATTTAAAAAACAACACGAGATTTGGGGGCAGTCTATAGGCTACCCCCAAATCCAGGGTTAATCAGTATTTTCACCATAAAAAATTGCACGAGTATTGAGGTATACCCCCTTTCAGTCATAGCCTAATGATAGTTCAACCCCATAGGAAACGCTTTTTTTTTGGGACTTGGTCCGGCCACCAGGTTGCGTTTTTTTTTTCATCCAAAGAAAACTGCCCCAAGGTGAGCACCATGAGACTGGGTAAATCTGAAACAACACATTTATCGTCAGACGGTGTAATTTTGACACAAGGCCTGGGGTATCTATTAGTATCTGTTTTTTGCCTTAAGTAAATGATATGCCCCCTTTATGTTCAGATTTGGGTTCAGAATGGTACAAAACAACAAATGATTTCTGAATATTTCTGATAAATCCCATGATATCATCATGAAATATCCACGTGAAATCACCACCGTTGAACCGTGCTTCACCGTGCTTCACCTTGTCACCGTGCTGCGCCAAGAAACCCTTCCTAGGCCATCTGGTCCGAAGGGTCCCAAAAAAATGATAGACGCCGGTCATGCCATGGTATTTTTTTTGTGACTTCAAAAGATAAACCATTTGCCAAATGTGGTCAGAAACTGTCAATTTTTATGCCAATTGTGCCGAGTTTATGGTGAATTTTTTGACCAGTATGTCAGACCAAGGCGAAGATTTGATATTCGTATATGCATCATATACATGTACATATATATATATAGATTAGACTAGACTAGACTAGATTAGATTGGGTTAGATTAGATTAGATGAGATCAGATTAGATTAAAGTAGACCACATTGGAGTAGAGTCGATTAGATTAGACTAGATTAGATTGGGTTAGATTAGATTAGATGTAGATTAGATTAGATGAGATCAGATTAGATTGGAGTAGACCAGATTAGAGTAGAGTCGATTAGATTAGACTAGATTAGATTAGATTAGACCAGATCAGATAGATAGATAGATAGACAGATAGATAGATAGGTAGGTAGATAGATAGATAGGTAGGTAGATAGATAGATAGATGTGGATGTTCCGTAAAATAGAGGCACCCCCAAAGCTATTGATTTCTCTACTAAAAATGAGCAAAATTGGACGGTCTTGGGGTCCCGCATGGAACTACCCTTATCATAAATCTGTTGACATATTAGTCCGAGAAGATGGAATGTGGTCATTTCACAAAGTCCTCACTTTGTAAGGACCTATGTTGGACATGTCAATATATTATCTACTTCAGGATGAATATGTAAGATATACACATGTATATATATATAAATGACTTAAATATACATATAGGGATCATCACGTTTCATCTCTGTTTCATTTGTTCCCGAACTACCCTCTGGTTATGACTAACAGTTCGCCATGGAAAATAGATGGCCCATAGAAATAGATGGTTTACCTATTAGAAATGGGAGCATCTTTCCATGGTTATGTTAAATAACCAGATGGTATACCTCCTTTTCTTTGTTTGCTGCTAAAATTTGGCAGTCGAAAAGCTCGTAATCTCGTCATAAGACACACAATAGCATGTCTCAAGCGTAGATAAGATGTGGGACCCAAGCATCTAAACTTCTTTTGGATGGTCAACCTTCCATCTCATCGGTCAAAACCCTGCCCGAAACAGGTCATGTGGGTCTTAGGTACATGCATATAAACCCGCAATGTGAAGTATTATCACATTATATAATATGATATGTATATCAGATAATTATAGATCATATACGATATGCAACTACATAATATAGTATAACACACATATATATATATATACATATATATATACACATATATATATACATATCATTATATCATATATTCTTATTTGCACTCTTCATCTTCATACTCACTCACTTTTTTCCCCATGAAAATTGCGTCACTCCAAGCGGGCCCAGCAACTTTGCCCGCGTGTCACCCGCATGTTACGTGTCAAAGTAACGCCAGGGCTATAGCGTCGGCCTCCTCCTCGCAAGAAACGGCGGGTTTTAATGGGAAAATCATGAGAACATCACGGGAACATCAGAACATCCACTTTTTCAATGGGGAACTTTAAATGGACAAATATTACAAATCAATCAACATCTTGTATAAATATGTATAAATGAGGGACATCCCAAATTTGCCGTTTCACTATTTTGTTTGTGGACAATTCGGCAGTTTTCCCCTCTGAAAAATGATGGAGTTAGTCAGTTGGGATGATGACATTCCCAATATGATGGGAAAGTCATAAAAGCTATGTTCCAAACCACCAACCAGATCAATCAGATCAACCAGTGACTACAGTAATCATGACAAATCATGACTAATCTACAAAAACTGTTTTTTTTTTCACAGCGGGGTCTGGCTTTCTAGATTTTTCACATGTTTTCACCGGTTGACCCAACTGGTGTTGAACCACTGGGCTCATCTTACGATTCAAACGAGAAAAAGGCGAATCCGAATCGATTCATCTTCAGCATCAATTTTCATCAACACATCCAAAAAAGGACCCAAGACATTCCGCCATTGGCACCTTTCAAACGGCGCTTCTGATTGGAATTCATCAGCCAGATTCTCCCACGAATCAGCCAAAAACGTACTCAACATTACTCAACAAAGGTTTTAAAAAAGGGGTCTTACATTGGCAAGTGGGACCCCCATAAATCTGGGAGTGGATACAAACTACTATTCAATTGTTGTATGGTTTGTATCCACAATAAACAACCATCCAACAATCCAACAATCCAACAATCCAACAATCTACAAACAACCCACAAACAACCCACAATCCCTATTCACTTACTTTAAACAAATCATCCAACAATCCACAATGTTGCTGTGATCCTCCCTTTGATTTGTTGGTTGCTTGTAGATTTCAATCCAACAATATCGAAAATATGGTCGTGTTATTTGTGTGAACTCAAATGTATAGCACTTTTTGCTTGCAAGATCTTGCAAGTCTACATACTTGCAACTTCCACAAAAGTAGACAGTATATACCTGAAGACAACTGCAAGGTTCTCTTGTCCATCTCTTGTTAGAATGTTTGTTGAAACCAAATTCATTTCTTCCAAAGTCAAGGCTGTAAACCCATGCAAAACCTGCAACACAGAGATCTGACATCTCCTCAAAATTTTAAAAATCTTAGACAGAAACGATGTGAGTACAACTAAGTTTGAGTGGGATTTCACCTTCCGAAGATTCCGAAGAAACCCTCCAGCATTCAAACACGACAAACCACGACAATTTCCCATTCATTTTACTTCGATGCTTTTCCGTTCCTAACATCTCCATTTTTTTGGGGAATCGCAACTGCCGCAGCGTTTTTCAAAAGGGTACCCTTTAAGAATTCGATTCCGTTCATTGACACAGACTCAGTTGACTCAGCTGATTTTGGTCCTCAGGAGCTCCGCTACATCTCTGTTCTACGGCTTCTAAGAAGCCTCGGAAGGCGGCGAGGCGGCGAGATTTTCAGATCACGGAAATTCAGATTCCACCAACCCTTGCCATAAGGCTTCAAGGGCTAAACATATCACCATTGGCGGCTTCACTTATTATATGATACAGCTTAGACATAACAATCAAGGTGCTGCAAGAATCAACAGTCAGTTTCAAACAACTTTTCAAGGGGTTTCTCAACCCAACAATGTGGCTAGAGCGCTTCCATTTTCTATCTTTTTTGGGTGTTGACGGTTGATGTGTAGTCAAGTAGTAATATGCGTTGTGATTCGTTATTGCTGGCTTATCCCATCGTTTCAGACTGGATTTCCGATGCTGTTGGCAACAGTTGTTGGTGACCTATATCTGTTTCTAATTTTCTAGAAGGATTCTTTACCCTTTCACTGGTTCCGATCGTTGTAGGTCATACATATGTATATACAGTATATATATATTATATTGCATTGTTGTTCCTTTCTGTTCTTTTCATGGAACATTCCAAATCCGCCGGTTCCTCCCCCCCCATGAAAGCCACATTGAACACTTGCAATTTTGTGGGTGTGCCCGGTGTGCCCCAGTTTCAGACACATCAAAAAATCAGATCGTTGCTTAGTTACTGTTCCTGTTGGAATCCATTTTCACAGATTTTCTCTCCGATTGGGAGGTGGATATAGGTGGTGAGTTTGATCAGCAGTGGATACACAGAATCCAATTTTTATGGCAACAAGATGTCGAAAATGTTGGACTGTCGAACCGAACAAAGGGAACATGTCTAAACTCATCCAACCTGCATGTCTCAACATGTGGCTCTGGTTTATGATGGTAAGTGGATGTCACCGCAAAGAATGGTAGCTAACGTCAACCTCGGATTAATAAAGCCTGCCTATTGAGGGGGTTACCCCAAAACAGCGTTCGACATTAATAACATTGCTACCTGGTATCAATGAAGCAGGGTTTTAGAAATATCCTGGCTTCAACATTGATCATGAACCATCATTAACATCGACAAAATAAGGATTTCCTGTTTTTTTTCATGGTAATATTACATATGACATCAACATTTCAATGATCATTGACCATCATTAACATCGACAAAATAAAGATTTCATATGATTTCAAGTGGTTTTATGGGAATATATATATATATGAATATATACTAGTATATATATATGACTATATATATATATATATATTTGGAATTAATAAATCCCCAAGATTTTGAAGGGATCTACCATGGTTACCATGGTACAATGGGAATCCACAACTGGATCTCCCGGCGCTCGTAGAGAGCCATGCTTCGCGCGCGCTTCGCCATGCGAGGCCCGCACTCGTCGCCGCGGGGGGTCGGGGTTCACCCCGACTGGTGGAGCAAAAGGGGTGCGACGAGGGTGCCATGGTGGTTGAGCCACCAAACCCTTTCAAAAATATCAGTTGGGATGATGTCATTCCCAATATATTTAAAAAAATGTTCCAAACCACCAACCATATATATATATATGTATATGATATATATATATATGATATATATATATATAATATGTATATATATATATGTATGTATGTATGTATGTATGTATGTATGTATATATGTATACACCTACATCATACATACCCTGTATCATATTTTTTTTTTTCGAAGTGAATTGATGATGATAGAGGGTCTGGTCATTCGGAAGATATCACAGATTCACACACCATTCCCAAGATTTCAAAGTGTGGACATGACTATGATCATTTGACTTTGACGTACATTTATACTTGTATTCTTATTTATACCTAACCATGTCATCGGGTTGGTGGTTGAGTAATGTAAAAAAACATGTTCAGATAGGTCAAATTGCTTCGCCATCGCCAACACACATGAACAAAAACAATAGTCAATAGCTGACCACTCAACTAATTAGGACCTTACATCAAACTTACATATTAGTTCCTGTTCATGGTGCTGAGTAAAAGTTCAATACCTTTCCAAACATCTTTCTCCAGCAGCCGTCGACTGGTTGGCTGATAGGGATTCTCGTTTGTTTTTTTGCTATGTAATTGCTACCAGCTGGTATTACACCAAGTAGATCCAAGTAGTACCCTCTGGTAAACTAACATAGCTATGGAAAATCACCATTTTCAATGGGTAAATCCACTATAAATGGATATTTTCAATAGCTATGTTAAATTACCAGAGGGTAGTACAATCAACATCAGCTCAAAAACTCAAAAACTCAACCAACTGCTCGGTCCTTGCTAGACTTCTGGCGGCCTGGTTACCTGGTTGGGAAGTGTTGGGAATGTTGTTTCCTGATCACGAATCTACAGCATCCCTATCCGGCTCGAAACCATCCTGGATGGATGTTGAATGATGCCCTGATGCCCTGCATCTGCCAAAATTGACCACCCAATTTGAAAACAACTCCATCTGGAGGGCTTCAGGATGTTTTACGGAAATTCAGCTGCTGGGGTATCTTTCTCCAAATGATTTTTTGTTCATCGGTTCAAACACAGAAGAGCAGCCAGGGGATGTGGTGGCAAACAACAAAATCCAGAACAGGGTGCTCCGAAGCCACAAGGGAAAGTGTCTTGGAGGTTGGTTGCAGGGCACGCACGCCAGCAGAACTTTGATGAACTTTGCTGCAACCGGAGAAAAGGGGATCATTTCAAGCGATGGAAATGAAGCCAAACAGATTCATGATGATTCATGTATTTCTATGTATTTCTGAGTATTTCTGTGATTCATCCCCAATATCCCAATCACCTGACTTCGAGTTTTGTCATGTTTTTTTTTCACCCAAATGGTATAGTCATGGCAGGTATCATGGCTTGGTGAAGCAGCCAGCAGGCATGGCATCATGGCAGGCTTCCGTGCTCAGCAGCCACCTGCACCTGGTGAACGAATCCACCGGGATTTCCCGGGAGTTCCCGATGTTTTTTCACCATGGAAAACCCAACCATGAAAACCATCCATGAACCAGACTGGTTGGTGGTTGAGCCACCTATACCTACCTATCAATGATGGTGATTTTTCTGGTGATTTAATATGATTTAATGATGATTCATGATGGTTAATGATGATTAATGATTAATGATGGTTTAAACATTAACTGGTTGGTGGTTGAGCCACCAACCCCTCTGAAAAATGGTGGAGTGAGTGAAAGTTAGTTGGGATGATGAAATTCCATTCCCAATATGATGGGAAAGTCATAATCCAGCCATGTTCCAGTCACCACCAACCAGTCATTAATCACCTTTAACCAACATCATTAACCATTATTATTCATGATTAACCATCATTAACCATCATTAATCACCATCCCAACTCATTCCCATGTTCCAAACCACCAACCAGATGAATTCTCCAACTATGGTAAACATTCCCAGCATGGGAACCACTGGGGAAGCTGTTCATAGCTGTTCCTCCCAAGGACAAAAATAGGCTACTGCATGTGGGCCGAGAAATCCGCCTTTTGGAGATCTGTATGAAGTGCATCGGTTCTATGAATCTGGGTAAATTAAAATATTTCACTATCCTGAATGGTTCAGCCATTTGGGGATGATTCCTCTTATTAACCATGATTCCAGGGTTCGGGAGAACAGTGAGGTCGTTATAAAATTTACCCAGCTCTATGTATTCTCTATGTATTCTCTATACCTACTCCACAGTCATCTGTCAAACTGTTCTACACTGAGAGGGCTGCAACTTGTAGCCCTGTACATCTTCAACAGGAGACATGGCAGAATTTTAAAGCCATTTTGGATTCAAAGGATGTTCAAGTTCACCAATATTTTGGTGGTTACCAGTTTTCAGCCAGTGTACCCAACATCCTTTTTGTCATCCCAATCACCTACAACCGTTGTCGGCCTATTGTGGGGCTAAACATGCTGAAAAACACCATCTATGCGGGTGCCCATTTATATCATTTATATCATTTATCTATCCCGGTCGATCCCGACTCTGAACAAACGCGCGTCATCTCATGGGTGTCCCCAAAATCGCGATTAGCATCTATATTTCATGGCAAGCTGGGACTTCGGGAAATTCCTCACGAAATTCCCAACGAAATATGGAAGTTTTGATGGAAGGAGGATTTTCTACGACTGGCACCTCCCATAGCCCGGCGCCATCTGCGTGCCACGCTTCATGGCGCCAAATGGTGATCTACCAAATTGGCAAATTTTTGGATGAACTTTTCCAACTTTGCATGATATTTTACTGACTTTTTTTGCCTGGTTGGTGGTATATCTACCCCTCTGAAAAATATGAAAGTCAGTTGGGATGATTCTTCCGAATATATGGAAAAAAACAATGTTCCAAACCACCAACCAGGTGACCATTCCTCATGCTCGCAATCGCGCCTTGCACATCTCTTTTTGGTGCCCTTTGTGACTTCAGGCTAGGACAAGATTCCTAGCCTTTCAGATGACCCGGGATGCTGATGCTATCTGTATTGAAATCAAAGGTCACAGATGGAAGGGATGATGCCACCGTACTTGTGACTTGATGCTGTGTGACTTGATGCTGCGTTGCGAACGAATTCTAACGAGTTGCTTGATGCTGCGGACTGTCCGGCGCTTCGTAATTTTCAATCCCAAAATGGGATCTGGAACATCACCAGTCGTAGGAACTTCCAAAGGTTACCGGTCCGCTGATACTGTGGAAAGACCATGAAATTGGGATCATCTTTTTTAGGACGAATGGCACAATCGCAGTAGCAGTAACAGTTCCACGGTCCCACGCTACCGCTTTTGAAAACGACACCGGATCCATTTTATATTGTGTGGTTCTGGACACTCATTTAACCTTGATGGTTCACCAAATTTCCAATGCCAATACAACATTTCCGGTCGAAAAAAACACCATTCCCACTTCCTTGGAGCTGAAGGAGGCATAAAAATATATATAAAGTGTTTCCCAGTTGTTTACCCACTCATGACATACTCAATGATAAAATCTCGAACAGCAACTCAACAAATCCAGGGCACCATTTTTCATGGCTAAACCATGAAAAACCACCATTTTTATACATTTTTCATGGTTTTTGATGAAACTCACCATTTTTGATGCTTCGTACTCCCCGTGACCCCGTGACCCCGCTGCGCATCTTTCGACACAAAGCCTGCAGGGCGCCGAATGGCTTTGAAAACGACACTCAACAGGTGGACAGAGAGCTCCGGCGCCCGTCGGTCCAAGGTAGGGCTGGGATGAAATGGAGTTTGGGACAAGGCTACCATGCTTACTTCCGTAATCCGATTTTTATGATTTTTCCTATACCTTGAAACTATGAATCCGGGTTTTTTTTGACCGAATTTTGGTGAATATCCCATAATATCCCCACAAAGTTAGACAGAAGCAAACACCCAAAAACAGCTTACAGCAACTGCTTGAACATCTTTCCGAATGGCTTTGTGGTCTGAGAGTCAATGTATATAAAGGGGATCAACCCAACAACTATTTGGAGTTGATCAACGTAGAAATATACCCTCTGGTTATTTAACATAGCCATGGAAAATGGCCCATAGAAATAGATGATTTTCCCAGCTAGGAACATCCATTTATTTTTGGGATTTTCCATGGCTATGTTAGTCATAACCAGATGGTAGATTTCTAGTGTGATTTATCTGCCAAGACATGAGGGTCCCGTGGGATAACATCTGGGAATTTTCACGAGACTCCTGGAGATTCTGTCAAATCCATAGTCTTGATGGCGCAACCAGCGACTCTGTGCACAGTGACTTTCTTACCATCAAAGCTTCGATATAACCATAGAATACCATAGATATGTTGATTAATTGTTAATTATTATTGGTATGTAGAAACTCCATGAAACTCCAACCACATGTTCTGGTACGTATCATCTAACTATTTGGCTTTTGGGCCGGCGACCGGATCTGTTCAAATCTATCTTCGCAGCGTGTGCTTTTGCACAGTCGCAGCTCGTTTTAGCACGGCGAATTACAGTGGGACGGTGGTGACAGCAGCTCAGGAAAGCGGTAGTGATCCACTCTATGACACACGATATACCCTCTGGTAAACTAACATAGCTATGGAAAGATCCACCATTTTATATGGGAAAAACCACATTTTATATGGGCAATTTTCAATAGCTATGTTAAATTATATATATATAGATTGAAATCACCATCGAAGTGCGGAAACAATGCATGGCGGATGCTGATATGCTCCTAAAATCAAACACAGCGGAACACTCATCTGTGGATGGCAGATCTTCCGGCAACGATTGATTCCCAAGGGTTTACAGAGAGAACGCGCGAACATGAGAATCGCTTTTTCGGGTCTCTGTCGATGAAAATGCAGTATACCCCCCAAATAGCAAATTTGATTGGGAAAATGATGATAAACCACTGGATTTTGTTGCTTTGCCGCTGAATTTTCAGACAACCCCTTTGCTTGAGGCTAGTGAAGTGGTTGCTGGGGGATCCATGAAATACCCTGTGCGAGATGCACTTGACAAAACTCACTAGAAACATCCTTGCTTCGCATCGTTCCTGATGTTGCATCCAGAAACACATCACCTGATTTTTGTGTTCTTTATCATATTTATCATATATAGGGGTTTCCTAAAATAAGGCTACCACCAGTTATCATCCATTGATGGGATTTTCAATAAACTAAACAATCTAGCGATAAAGGGGTACCCCCATTTTAGGAAATTCCCATATTTCTATATATTTCTCATGTTTTATTACCAGCAGTTCAGGTGACTTTCTCCACTTGGTTTCAAACGGTTTCCAGGTCCACAACTTGGGCCATCGCTGCTACCGATGGCGGCCGTGCATGTCACCACTGGCTACAAGGTCTACCAGCTGAGACTCCAGGTGGACCATGAGAAAAGCCATATGGTTTTTATGTTTTTTAGGCCGGAAAAATGATCTGGGTGTGCCTCATCCAATGGTGATTTTCATAAAATACCTACTAAATATGCCAGATAATTATTAGATATAATAAAAACCATGCCGCCTTAATATCTAATAATATGGTGAATTTCATCATACCCCCATATTACTAATATTATTCTAGGTAAATTACAATAATTTGCGAACCTGAATTAAGGCCATTTGGGGATGATTTCCCTTATAAACCATGATTTCCAGTGAGGTCGTAGTGAGGTCGTTTTAATTTACCCAGATTATTAGATTATGCCATCATTGGGGGTATACCGCCTTTTCACCATCTTCATTCATGGTGAATTTTCCATTCATCGACGTTCGAAAACATGGGATGTTTTTGGGGATTGTTTTTTGCGGATGTAATGGGATATGTATAATATTGTATAACATTGCATAATACAATACAATATAATATAATAATACAATACAATATAATATAATATAATATAATATAGTATAATATAATATGATACTATGTGAAAAATAACCAAGCAAATTAAATGGGTTTACCTGAAAATGGGGGGATACCTTAAAACTACGGGCTTTAGTAAAAGCCATTTTTGATGCACCTGTTCATCCGAACATGGCTAGCTTTACGCTGCACAAACAACTGTTGGAAGGAGATTAATTTCCTCCGCATATGGATGACAATCAATCCAAACCAAAGTTGACTCAGCAAAATGAATCAACATGAATCAAAATGAACAACCCTTGTGGCCAAATGACTTTATATAATGATTTCGTCAAGAAAGAGCAACAACTACTCGAACTTGATGTTTGGGCGTCACTTTTTGCAGCTCCTCCATGATCGACTATCCAGTACCAAATGATTGTTACATCGTTTCCATCGTTGTGTCCATGTGTTTTTCAAGGGCCCAACTGATTAAAACATAAACATTGGATGGTTTTCTATTCAAATGACCGGCCCATCTGTGGTGAACTGCTACCCATTTCCTTGCGAACATGACGTATTTCTCGTTGCTCAACTATCAGTCTTGTTGCTGGGTCCTCTCCATTTTTTTCACATTAGACCCATTTTTTTGCTGAGGTGAAATCCAACATTTTTTCTTGTTGACACACAGAGCCATTGTTCCATACATTGCCAATCTTAGATACCCTGCAAAAAATGACAAATTCTTTGCTGGTGAATGTGGATATTCCCATTGATCCCAAAAGACTAGTTAGGATTAGTTAGTAGCCATCTAAGATTGACTTAGCATCAATCATCCCAACATCCATACCAAAAGAATCCAAACGAATTTCGTTTCGGAGTCTCTAACTTCTCCCGGAGCCAGCAGCTTTGAGCCGACATCTCGTGCGTGACAGGCCGGTGGATTTCACCGATTCAGCCCCGAAATGGTTCTGCCTGTTACCATCAGAATCACCATCTGGATTCTACCAAGCAAACTGGTGGATTTATCTTTTTTAAACATTTTTAAACCTTCAGTTCATTCATGTCCTTCAGTTCATCAAACCAAAGACATTTTGCTACTCGTTTCCAGAAAGATCGCTGTGCAGGGCAAGTTCGGACCCGAGGTCACCGTGGGGGCGGAGGCCATGCGGCCTGTTTTCAGGGTCACATGGTGGCTGATTGGAACGGGACAACTGTTAGGGAAACCATCCCCTGGTTCAATGGCCTAAATATGGGAAGATCCCCAGAAAATATGGCCAGAAATATGGTAATTACTAACGTACCTCCATGACTTAGGATCCTGAAGATCTCCCATTGACTGGTTAATTATCAAGGTATACCCCATTTTCAGACACATCTACATATCTTGGGTCCAAATGTTGGGGTCCTAGCCGCAAATGTTCTATCTTGGTCAAAAAATATCGAGTTTTTCCATGGATTTTGTTGGCTTCGTCCTACTGCCTGGCTTCAACTCTGAAGAAAAACCACAAAACATGGACAATCCTGCCATCCACTCAGCCATCTGCTGTCCTGCCATGTCCGCCCCTCACTGGCAGCCAAGCCCTTCGTTTTGGCAACACCAATCCTGGCACAGCTCGTCATCCAAAGTTCTCCCTATTTTCAAATGCCACGCCCACATTCTCAGAGGTGGTAAATCCTTAAATTGTATTGTTGGTTCCATCCAATTGTATATATCTATCTATCTGTCTATCTAATCGAATCAAATCGAATCTATATCTCAATTCTTCCCACTTGATCTTGGAGAAACCAGCCAATTCTTCCCATCTTCCGCCTTCTTGGCGCCAGACCAGCCCTGTTGCCAATTGGCGAGACCTGTGCAGAACAACCAGGAGAATGGAGGATTGACCTGTGAAGCTGTCATGTTTTACCAGCAATTTCTGGGAGTTTCTGAGGTTTTCCTGGGATAACTGGGGTTTAACTTTACAAAAAACTCATAAAGTGGAGGTTTAACTCATAATTGTGGAAGTTTTTTCATGGGATTTTCTGAGATACCATGTCTGTGGGGATCTTTCTAGTGGATACCAGACTGGACATGATGAGGCACTAAGATGATCTTTGAACTAGTTTTGTTCATCATGGGAGTGAAACCCCCCAATAACTTGGGGCAGTGAAAGATTCCATGTGGTGAAAAAAAAACGACCGCCTGGATCTGTTCAGTCAACAAGCATCAACTTGACAAACTTGGCCCCGGAAGTGACACATTTGAACAGGTCTTTTAGACAAAATCGTGCACAACGTCATGAGAGGGGTAAAATGAATCGAACGCATTGCGAGCTTTAGATGAAGTTGTATACTACTCCATTCTTTTCTACCACTACAAACAATCTTTGGCCAGTGGCTAGTGTATCTGTTGGTTTCGGCAGTGCTTCAAGATGTCACGGAACCAGCAGATCGAACTCTTATAGGCGTACATTTATACACAAATAAGATCAAATAAGTAAAAGGATCAATTTTTATGGTGTATTAACATGTACTAACCACTTAAGCAATCAGCACATTTAGGGCTCACCATTTCTTATTGGGGAGCCGAGTTTAAAAGGTGGTCGGTCGGTTGGTCGCTTTATGAAGTGACTTCCACGGTCAGACAAGAACCCTTGGCTGTTCAGGGCTCGGTGAAAAAAACTGATATGACTTACGCCACACAAAGCTCGTGTCAATACATGACATGTTTACATGACCAATATTCCCCCCAAAACCAGCAAGAAATCTAGGAAATCTAGCATTGAATCATTGAGCTACTCAAACCCATCTGGACTTAATTCAATCATATTCAATCTATCTCTGGGTTTCAATTTCCCCATCCAAAACCCGGGCCGGGGGTTTTGGCCGCCTGCATGGCAGGCAAAGGGCATCTTGCCAGTGTGATGTATCTGAACCCAATGGTCTGTCTGCCATTGCCACCTTGGCGGATGACCCTCCAAGTTACCTCCACCCAGGGGCGTAGGATGTGTAAACGGTTTAAATATTTTGATGTTTACACCATGAACATCGAATGTTATCCAGGGCATGGATGGGAACTGTTTAAACATTAACAAAAACGTTTGAAAGTCGGTGCCTGAACCATGTGATGATTGGGCACCAAGTTCAGCAAGCTACAACCTCCTGGGCCTTGCACCATGTGAATTCGATACGTTTAAAGAGTTTAAACATTTGGACCCGAGCTTCGTCAACGGTTTGATGTTTACACAGTTTAAACCTGTTTGGAACGACCCTGACTCCATATGCCTTCTCTAACAATCACATATTTTTTGTAACCCCAATTTATCTGCATGATATCATAATTTACAAGAAATCAATTTCATCATATCATTTATTATACCCTCCGGCAATCAAACGTGGCAAGGGACAATCCCCGAACTGAATGGAGGTTTAGTTCGCTGGGAAAATCATCGAACTATATATTGCTGGTGGATTTTCCAGCATTCCATGGTTGAGTACCGAAAGGTATATCGTTATACATATCATATACCCTCTGGTAAACTAACATAACTATGGAAAATCCCCATTTTTAATGGGCACATCAACAATTTCTATGGCCATTTTCAATATGTTAGTCATTACCAGAGGGTACTCAATAATATGATGGTTGAAACATGTTGAAACACTATAGATTGATGGAATTCTCTGGGTGCTCTCCTATCCAGGTCAAATCAGGCCTAAAGTTTTAATATTCACCGACAGCAACCTCTAGGAGGGGCAAAAAACAGCTATTGTTGTGGGGTCTAACATTGGGGGGCGAGCATGTGATTATCTACACCATTCTAAAGCCCACTATTGTTGGTTGTATATCCCAGTGTATTTCCTATGATGTGGCCACTCCCCAGTTTTTTCAGATGGTTTATAAATCCCATTAACTATAGTTATTTGCGTATCATAAACCATAGTTATTGGGGGCCCCACATTGTATAATATGCAATAAAATACGATTCTGGTATACTCTGGTTTTATGTGGTTCATACATCCCATTACCATCATTTCCAAGAATATGCCATAAAATATCATAAAATGATCAAACATAACGCGTGCTGGACACAAACTCACCCATCTAGTGACCCATCTTATGTTCCCAGCTATAAAAAACCTCCATTTCACTGGGGATTTCCAAACTGTTTACCAAGGAACACCATCCCCTTCGCCGCAGCGGAGGGTGGGTGTCCAGAGCTGGAGGAGACGGAGAAGGAATGAGACCAAGAGCCACCTGGAGCGAGGAAATCATATGGAAAATCGTCCTAAATCAGATGGAAAAGCCTGTCTTTATGATACCAAATATGTGAAAATCCCTCAGTAAACCATAGTTTATTGGGGATATTTTAATTTTAGGGGAAGGGATGCGTTATATATTATCAAATATATTATATATTAGACATGAAACATACATGGTACATTCTGCATAACAACTTCAAATGAAAGAGACATCCTGACGTTGATTAGATCTAAGTTGGATTTTTTTCCCTGGAACATTATGGGGAAATTGGGATTCTGTATATAGTATATAGTTGAGTTTGTCATTTACAGAAATGATGAATGACAAATATTTATATAGTATATAGTATATAGTTAATTGGGATATATATACTTAGTATATAGTATATAGTTTATCCCAATAGTATATACTATAATGATAAATATAGTATATAGTTGAGTTATTTATAATATTGGATTTGTTGCCAGTATACAAAACCCTTTTTCTGTATCTCAGATAATTACTTTAGTAAATAATAGACATCACCGCTATATATGTGTGTATTGTATACCAACATATCAAGTATATAGAGCGAACATGCATTTCATACTATATTTTGCATCATATACAACGAGTCATGCTTTGGCCCTCGGCTTTCAGATTGGGCCCCTAAACAATCAGCACAAATCAGCACAAGTAATAGTCACTCTTCGTTTTTTTTTCATAGTATGTCAAGTATGTTCGGCTGATTTCCAGTATCATTTTACCATGGGATAGAACCAGTTTGAAACCCGTTTCCCCCTTTTTTTGGCCAACTGGGGATTTGAAACGGGCCATGAACTGTGGATTCCCCTGTCACATGAACTCCGTAGAATGACCAACTGGAGTCGTTCGTTTCCGTGGGATGTTCACCAAGTTGTTGCGATTTTTTCATGGATAGATATAATATATACTATATCATCTAGATATATAGTTGTATATACTAACCCGAGATATACTGACCATCCGTACTTGGGATAATTCCGTTGGGCAATTTCTAACCCGAGATAGCAGTGGTTGTACTGTTTTTCGGGACGTGGCGCACGTCATCTCTTTCATTTTTTTGTACGCAAATCCAAGTTGACCTTGAAAAATGGGATGGTAGCAACATCTGCATGTTTGTCCCAAGATGAGTCATCATTTCTATTTCAAAGTTGCCCAGATAAAAATCCTGAACCGGAGAGGTACAGAATGGTTAAATGGGCACGATTTAGATAGATATCTTAGATATCCCTCAAGTTTCAAATGATGTTTTCCCAAGCAATACATCACAAATACATCACACCTCCCAAATTTCTGGTGCTTAAATCCACATTTCTTCCTGCCATCATTCACCATTGCCTCCAGAAGCACCCGCAGCACCAGCAGCTCCACCAGCAGCTCCACCAGCAGCTCCACCAGCGGCGCAATTGATGTGTTTATTGGCGCAGCACCAGCCTTTCTTCCTTTGCGGAATTGAGGTTGGGAAAAAACTCAGGTCTTTCAACATCTAACATCAATTAACATCAATTTTATGTCAATTAAAATCAATTAACATCAATTTTGATGTCTCAATTAACATCAATTAACATCATAATTTTGAGACATCACCACGGCTCAATGGCTCCATGGCACAGCTTAGCAAAAAAGTGCTGGCGAAGGGGTCATCCAGAACGAGCTGGTAACCCGATTCAACCCGAAAAACAATCCGATTAGGGCGCCGTGAAAAAATGCTGGGCCGGTTCCAGATGTTCCAAATGCGCAGTTGGACGGTTTACAGCAGGTTTACCACAAAAAATAACCAAGAAACAAATGGGGAAAAACACCTGCAGGGGCAATTCTCCTGCCTAAAAATATGAGTGGGAACAAGTGCAAGAAATTTCAGTGGTTTCCTCTCCATTCCCATCCTAGCATCATTTTTTTGACCCGAAACACCCATATCTTCGCCTTTGGCTACCCTGCCCAAAAGCCAATGCTCAGCCGAAAATTGAATTTTCTCATTAAGAACTGTAAGAAAGGACATACTCCCATCATTGAACTGTTGTCATCACTGCAATATATTGCAATATATAGTAACAACATATTGCAATAAACCGTGGCCAGATGGGTTTGTGTGAAAATGGGCTATGAAAATTGGCTAGGCCCCGAAATCTATGAATGCATTGGCATATGAATGGGTGTACCCTCTGGTAAACTAACATAGCTATGGAAAATCACCATTTTCAATGGGTAAATCCACTATAAATGGATATTTTCAATAGCTATGTTAAATTACCAGAGGGTAGCCCATGTTCCGACACCAAAATGACCGCAAGATCTTTTTTTAAGTTCGAACAACGGAGCCCTCCGCGGTGTAGCGCTCCGAGAGACGCGTCGGACCAGCCCAACTGCCAGTTGGCCATGCCAGCGCCGCAATCATAGGGCAACCTGGTTCCATCCCCTCGGAGTAAATTAACATAGACCCTGGTAGTATTAATGGGTTGGAAGATTAGTGAAACCTCTAAAAATTGGTGATAAAATCAGGGTCCAACTGTTAATTTACCAGAAGGTAAGTTTCCAATGAAAAAAATATTCGACACCTGGAAGGAACCCAAGTTTTGGACTGATAAAATTACATCGTCCATCTGCTACTCTTCAATTGTAGGCGCAAACCATTCAGGCCATTCTGTGGAATGCCAAGTCCTTGGTTCACTGAAACCAATCAGATGGCCATCTATTATCATCAATGTACCAGGACTTGGGCGGTGGAGTATTTTATATCACAACTAATTGCGCTGGCGAGGAGGACGAGGATAGATGGAGGAGGGCGGGATGTATTATTAAGAATCAGGAGACCATCACTTTTTTTTTGCGTCCAAGTTACAATCCCATTATCATGTTTATACATCCCATTATATCTCATGATATCCCCATATTATCCCATTATCATCTCATTATGTCCCATTGTATACCCAACAATATGTCCCATTATTATCCCATTATGTCCCATAGTTAATCCATCATCAGATCATTTCAGTATATATGTCCAATATTTTTCATAATTTCACATGATGTTTCTCATATTTTCGGGTACTTTTCCGCATATTTTCGCACATTTTCCCAATATTTTCAGATGAAATCCCATAATTAGCATAGTTTAATTTCCTGACATTTTCTCCATGATTTTCCCATGATTTTCCCCATGAATTTCCCATCATTCTCTCCAAGTTCCACAGATCCAGGACCCCACTCCGAGCAACTTGGGCGGCACCGCCCCTCCAGCTCCTCCAGCCCCCGCGACGTGTACTGCGACCCAGGTCCAGGCGCCACTGACCTGGTTATTTGTGACGCTTAAGAGATGGTGGTTACAAAATTACCATCTGGTGATTTAATGGTGATTTATAGGGGTTATAATGGGATTTACCCTCTGGTTATTTAACATAGCCATGGAAAATCAGCATTTTTCATAGGTAAACCATCTGGTTGATGTTACAAATAACCAGAGGGCATTAGTACTGTATTAGATATAATGGTTATGTAAGTTATGTATAATCAAATACAAACTAAATATAATTTCACAAAATATAATATATGTATATATATATATGATGTGGGAGAATGATGTATAATGGTGAAAGCACGGTCGTGTTGATATAGTGGTTGGTCATCACACATATATCAACATAATTGGTGTAATATACGTAAATTGTGTATAATGGTGATGTAATAGTTATTTTAAATACTGTTGTAATGATATAATGGTTATAATAATTATATCTTACAGAAACTCAGCAAATGCTTATGTTATGTAGTGGTATACTAGTGGTTGTATAGTGTATATATCATATACATACGATGGTTGTACAGCTGCTAAAAAGACAAACATAACAATACAAACATGATATGATATTTGAGATATTCGATATCCTTGATAAATCTTGAAACATGTTCTATATATTAATATTGGTTCTACAGTGTTCTATATAGCAACCTCCTTAATAGATAGAT